TGCAATAGTAACATAAAATTGCACAAATAATAAAAATATTCTCTTTATGTATTAATAAATGAAAATAAATTAAAAACAAACTGCGAGCAAGGGATAGAAGCGTGTAATACAGTATAACCTTAAAATTTATATAATGGTAATAATAAAAAATAATTTATTATAAAAATAATGGATAAAATTTTAATATACATATTACACGTTAGTCGACGATTAGCTTGTACATCTTCTGCAACATATCAATATTCAAAGTAAGCTAATAAACTTATTATTAATTTATAAAAACAAATACAAAATGTAAACAAATAATTAATTAAATATAAGTAAACTAATATTATTATTATATTATAAAATTGTTAATGATTTATATTATTATATTACAGAATTTTTAAAAATTGTACTGTACGTATGTATACAAACTATAATAATCGTTTATTAAAATCATGTTTGCTTCCTGTCACAAAATCATTTAATATTATGCAAAAACGTACAATGTTCATACAAACACAAGATACACCAAATCCCAATAGTCTAAAATTTTTACCTGGAGTTAAGATATTAGAACAGGGCCAAACTAAGGATTTTCCCAGTGCTATAGATGGATATTGTTCACCACTTGCAAAAATGTTATTTCGTATTGATGGTGTGAAATCTGTATTTTTTGGTCCTGATTTTATTACAATAACAAAACTTGATGAAGATGTAGAGTGGAAATTATTAAAGCCAGAAATATTTGCTGTTATAATGGATTTCTTTGCATCTGGTTTACCTATATTAACTGATGAACAACCTGCAGCAGATACTCGTAAAATTCTTTTTTTGTTTTTATATATAAAATAATTTATATATTTATAAATGAATAAATATTTTATACATTTCTCAATTTTAGTAACTTATAAACAAATTATTAAATATATTTTACATATATTGAAAAATATATTAAAATTTTTATTTTTATAATTAACGATTCCTTTTTTTATTACAGAAATTAGTGATGATGATAGTGAAATAGTACAAATGATAAAAGAGTTATTAGATACTCGAATACGACCAACAGTACAAGAAGATGGTGGTGATATTGTATTTATGGTATGTAATACAATTTCTCTTTTGTTGACTTAAATTTTTGATTGATAAAATTACAAATATTAGAATAATTTCATAAATAAAAAAAAAAAATATTTAATTAAATTAATTTTTAGATTAGAATATAATATATTTGTAACTAATAATTTAAAATTGGATATTTTAATAAATTGAAATTGATTATTTGAAATAATAAAAAATTATATTTTAAAAATAAATTTAATATTTCCGATTTTATATATACAAATAATTAGTATTGACTTATTCTTTTTTAAATAATATTTTATTAAAAATAATGAGGAAAATATTATATAGATAAAAGTTACATTATATTATAGATTATATTTTGGATTATAGGGTTTCGAAGAAGGTATAGTGAAATTAAAAATGCAAGGTTCCTGTACAAGTTGTCCAAGTTCAGTGATTACTTTAAAGAATGGAGTCCAAAATATGATGCAATTCTATATTCCAGAAGTTCTTGGAGTAGTACAAGTTGAAGATGAAACTGATCAAATTGCAAAGAAAGAATTTGAAAAATTTGAAGAGAAAATTAAAAATAATGAAAAATAGACTTAATTAGTATTTAATGATATTTAAAAAAAACCGTATATATACATATAAATAAATTAAACAATTATTCTTTCGTTTCTTATTTTTATTTTATTTTAATTAAAGTATTTAACGGCTAGTCACAGAAACTTGCCAGACACGAATAGTATTGTCAGAGTAACCAGCAAAGAGTGTTTGTCCATCAGTAGACCATGCTAAAGATAAACAATGGGGTGGTTCAGCTTTACTTGTTGCAGATACAACCTCTGGTTTTAATTCTTCAACCATCTCTTTGGTTTCAAGATCCCATATCTTGATCCAAGGTCCAAATGCGGCACAGAGCCAATAGCGATTAGGACTAAAGCACAAAGCTGTTATAATATCATTGTGATCCAAGGTATGAAGATGTTTTCCATCATTCAAATCCCATAACATAGCCTTACAATCCTATAAATAAAAAAATTAATTTAATCCTATACATATAATAAAAATATATAAATATATAAAGTAATTTTTAATATAGCAACTTAATTATATTTAATTTACAACATTAATGCATTATATGAATATAAATTCTAATATTGATTTTATAGATAATTTTATAATTTCATTAGAAAAACAAAATTAAAATGATTCATTGAGAAAAATAAAAAAAATCATCATATTATTTTAACATTAAAAATATGCTTAATTTTTATAGAATTGAAAATAATATTAAATAATATTATATAACATTTTTGTAATATATACCTTGCCACCAGAAGCACAAAGCGAACCATCAGGTGATACAGTAACTGTATTAAGATATCCAGTATGTCCACAATGATTGATTTTCAATCTACAGTTTGTTAAATTCCATACCTATAAACCATTTTACAATAACTATTTAAAAAAGGAATTAAAATTTTATTAAATAATTTATAACTAATTTTTATAATCAGTCCCATATCCGCATACATTCATGAATATCATGCTCAATAAATATATATACATCATATAATGAATCATAAAAAATATGAACATTTAAAATATGAAAATATTTTAAATAATTAATATACAACAAATAATATACCTTGACTAATTTATCCCAACCTGCAGAAACAATAATGGGATTTGAATGGTTTGGCGAAAAACGTACACAACTGACCCAGTCTGTGTGCCCATCATCTTGAATAGTATACTTGCATTCAGCTAAAGTATTCCATAATTTAATTGTTTTATCTCGAGAACCAGAGACAATTTGACGATTATCCACAGAAAAGGCAACACTTAAGACATCCTGTTAACATAACCATTTAATTTTTATAATTAATTTATTATCAATAACAATTTTGCATATCAAAAATGTCATTAATACTTACAATACTATATATTTAATTGCCCACCTCTTCTATTTATTAAATATAAAAAAAAAAATATATAAAAAAAAGCTTCAGTATATTCCTAAAGATTCATACAGTTACATCTTCTGCCAATGGCATTCAATAAAAAAAATTAAAAAAAAAAAGCTTCCATATATTTCATGAGGAGCGACGATAGATCAGAAGAAAAATTTCACACCTTGGTATGATCTTCGAATCTTCGTGTGGTACGACCTGCAGCCAAATCCCAAAGGCGAAGAGTTTTGTCCCATGAACCAGACAGAGCATAATTACCATCAGATGATAGAACTACATCACTAATAAAATGAGAATGACCATACAAGCGTTTTTGAGGAATACCATAATTAGCTTCGTCACGTGTTAATTTCCACACAATCAAAGTTTTATCTATAAATAAAATATATAAATTTTAAAAATAAATTTTTTGATCATATATAAAATTAGTTTCTTTAAAATTAATTAAATATAAATGAATAGAAAATAAAATCAAATATATATATAAAAATTATTTTTATATTTTTTAATAAAATAAATATAATTATAATAATTAAAATAAAATATGGAAATAAAAAAAATTAGAAAAAATAATTATAATCATTTTTTCACTAAACACAATCCAATTAATATCAAGCAATACATCTATGATATGATGCTACATGAAAAAGTATGAAAAAAAGAAATGAGAAAATAGAAGTATCCAAACTATTTCAAATAATTTTTTGTTATAAAATAATTTGATTAATTATACTTGAAAAGTAAAAATATTCACAATTTTTTTGTTTTATTTATTTTATCTTAATTTTGTGAATAGATAAGTAATATAAATACAATTTTAATATATTATAATATAAAAATTTTAAGAAATAGTTACATAAATTATAATTTTATATATATTTTTATATTTGACTAAACTATTTCATTACAGAATACTTTATAGAAATTATTTAATTAGATTACACGAGAAATTACTGTTTATTCTATTTACCTCGTGAAGAAGACAATATCATATCCGGATATTTTGGATTTGTAGCGATTTGGGTAACCCATCCATTGTGTCCTCGAAGTGTACCTCTTAATTGAAGAGTTTCAGTCATTTTATAATTATTTTAAAGTATTTTACGTTATAGATTCAAACAGATTCCGTTCTACGATCCACATTCAACAACACGTTGAACGAAAAGAACGATGAACCTCTCCTTTTCAAATATGTATACTATCACGACTTATATCTTTCGTAGATGTGTAACTCATATGTATAAAATATAAATCTTAAAGTATATGCATAATATACATATTAGGAAATTTTAAATATTTCATTGAATAATTTTTAGTAAAGTTTAAATATATCTTAATATAATTTAAATTAATATAATGTATCAATATTATTAAATTCATTTTAATATAAAATTATATTTATATTATAAATATAAAATTTTATTTTCTTTTTTAATTGTTTATATTTGAAATCATTTTATTATCTATTAATAAAAAACAATATTATAACAGTTCAAAAAAGAAAATAAGGAATTATACGTAAATTTTAACAATTTAATATTATTTAAAACAATTATATCAAATTTAATAAATTAATTAGAGTTAATTATAATAGATTGCCTTTTAATCAATATAAATTCTCAAAGGACCTTAGCTCAGTTAAATGAATAATTAATTAATCGGATAGTATCCAACAATATCATTATAAATTTATAAATTGTAAATAAAATATATAATATGTATGTACATATACATATGTATGTGCATAATATTTCTTATTTATATTTAAAATTTAGATATAATATAATATTATCAATATTACATTAACAAATACTATAAAAAAATCACAATTTATTTCTCTCAATCAATTAAAACGAGATTTGAAATTTACTATATAAAATAAAATTGATAGTAGAATATTAAAAATATATTACATGAAAACCAACCTTATAATATAAATTTTAATATTAAGGTTATATATTTCAAAGTGCAATTAAAAATTAGAAAAAAATAAATATAAATCTTATAAATGATAAATCTTATATTGTTATTGCTCAAAGAAATAAGAAAATTTAAACGAAATAACAAAAATTGATAAAATAATGGCTAAACAAGGAAAAGATTTAGCATTATCAATGTTGCGAACGTTACCGAGGCTATCTTTAAATAATATTCGAGATAATCCTGGTGCAAGAAAAGCTGTTAGTATTACTTTGATATTATATTTAAAATTAAATTTTATATAAATATTTGAATATTTTTAATTCTATTAAACATATTTTATAATTTTAGTATTTTATTTTTGTAGAAATTTAATTTAAATCGCATTGTTTAAATAAATATAACAATATTTTTTTTAATATGTAATCATTATATTTAATAATTATTTTAAAAATTATATATTTCTAACAGTCAAAACGTGGCAGAGGTCAACATGGTGGAAATAAACATGGAGCTGGTAATAAAGGTTCAGGTCAAAGACAGAATTTTATGAGAACTGGATATGAAACTGGAAATAATCCATTTTATCTTAGATTTAGTTATGAACCATATTATAAAGGACATCAGTAAGTTATATATTATATGATATTATATATAATAAATAATGTGTATATTAAGAATTTTTTTTTATATATTGTAACTTTTTATATTTCTTCTAAACATTTATATATTATTTTTATATATTATATTTTTTATATTTATAATTTGGATTTAAAATTATTTTATATTAACTTAAAAAGAAATTAATATAGATTTATTTTTATATCAATTATATTAATTATAGATTATTGAAATATAAAATGAAATATATCATATAATCTTATTTTATTGATGTTGTAGTTTAAGAAGAGAATATCCTCCTTTATCTCTACAAAAATTACAATTATATATTGATACAAATAGAATAGATTCATCCAAACCTATTGATTTTGTTTCTATAATCAATACTGGATTATACAATTTTAAAATAGAATGGAAACATGCAGGTATTCATCTTACAGATGAGGTATTACAATTGAATATTAAATATTATGCTTAAAATTAGTTTAAAATAAAAGTTATACTTTGATATTATTTTTAGGGCTCTGATAATTTTAAAGCAAAAGTAAATATAGAAGTACAATGGGCTAGTGAACCTGTAATTGCAGCAATTGAAAGAAATGGTGGTACTATTACTACTGCTTATTATGATACTAACTGTTTATTTGCAATGCAGGATGTTGAAAGATTTTTTACTACTGGTAAATTTTTAATGTGTATTATATTAATTATTATTATTTTATATAAATTATATATTATTATATATAAATAAAAACAGTAATTGATAATATATTTAAATTATGTTTATCATTTAGGAGAACCAATACCACGCAGATTACTACCTCCAACAGACTGTTTAGAATATTACATGAGTGCAGCAACAAGAGGATATTTAGCAAGCCCTGAAGAAATTTCTCATGAACGTTTGATTTTATCTCAAAAATATGGTTATGAATTACCAAAAATTGAAGATGATCCTGACTATGAAATGCTTGTAGAACGTAAAGATCCTAGACAATTATTCTATGGTCTTTCACCTGGTTGGGTTGTTAGTCTTAAAGACAAAGCAATTCTTAAACCTAAAGCTGAATATCTTAAAAAATTTTATTCAAGCTAAAGTATTTATTTGTAAAATGTATTTAGTAAATAAATGAATAACTTTTAAAAATAATATATATACAAAATAATTTTTAAAGTAAAAATTACAACTTTAATTCATGACTAAATTATTACAAATATATTTTTTTTTATATAAATAATTTAAACAAATGTAATAAGTTAAAATAAATTAAAATAAATTAAAATAACCTTAAAAAAAATCTTAAACATATAAAAATTTATGCAAATTTGAAGAGAATATATTTTATATTGCAGATTATCGTACATATTTTCTTGTCTTAATTTATGTTTTTAGAAATATTTCGTAATCGTATGTGAAAGTGAATATTTCTTAAAACATAACCTAAATATGTGGCATTTGATATAAGTATAATAAAAGTAACATAAAAATCAGTGACCTCATTATCACGCAATGGAATATTGTCAATAACAATGTAGTGTTTTTTTATGATAGTTATATAAATATTTCAATCCATTTTTCCTGTATAATATTTGCAACCTATGTCAACGATTTAAAAATGGTATTTCATATTGAGACTGAAAAGGATTATGGATTTTTGTTAAAAAGTTTAATTGCCGGTGGTGAGTTATATTTTTGCATTTTTATGTTTAATAATTCTTTCTTATTTAATTATTATATGATTAAAATTAAATATTAAAAGAATTAGAACATTTATATTTTAATATAACATTATATCTTTATTCTAATTATTTATTAACATTTATTTACAACATTTATTTTAATTATATATATTTTATAATTTTTTTGTATAATAATATTTAATAATATTATTAATATTTCAAAATTTTTATTACTAAAAAATAATTTTTTTAAAAATTATCACATTGTAAAAATTATCATATTGTTATATATTTATAATATTATCTTAATAATAATTAAAAATTTTAGTAATAAATTTTACTAATAATTTTACTAATAAATTTTAATAATAAATATTTCATAGGAGTAGCTGGAATGTGTTCAAAAACAACAGTAGCTCCATTAGATAGGATAAAAATATTATTGCAAGCACACAATAAATACTATAAGCATTTAGGTAAAAAAATATTATAAAAAAAAAAAAAATTTAAAACTTGTATATATATAATATTTTTATATATATAAATTTAAACATTTGGTTATTTTAGGAGTTCTTTCTGGATTAAGAGAAGTTATTCAACGTGAACGATTTTTTGCTCTATATAAAGGAAATTTTGCTCAAATGATTAGAATTTTTCCATATGCTGCGACACAATTTACTACATTTGAATTATACAAAAAGGTAATTATTATTTAATCTATGATAATTTGTAATAAAACAATTAAAAAAATAATACCAATTTGTTCTGGGTAAAGTGGTTCCACAGAGCGAAGTAACCGTTATTAATATAAAGACATGCTCATAATTTAAAGGTGAGCCTTTACAATTTAGATTCACTTTTGTATTTATGTATGCAGATGCATACATAAACACACACAGACAGATATAAATAAGTTCATAAAAATATATTTGATAATTTAAATTTATGAATATATATATAATTTTGAATGGGGAGATATAAATAAATTTTGCTAATAAAAAATAAATAATAAAGGATAAGATTAAAAAAAAAAAATTAAATCATCTTTAATTTTTATCAGTATTTAGGAGGTTTATTTGGAAAGCATACACATATAGATAAATTTCTGGCTGGATCTGCAGCTGGTGTTACTGCAGTTACATTAACATATCCACTTGATATCATCAGAGCCAGACTTGCTTTTCAAGTTGCTGGAGAACATATTTATATAGGGATTATACATGCGGGTATTACAATTTTTAAAAATGTAAGTTATATTAGCTTATATTCTATTAAATGTTAATTGATTGTAATTTATTGATATTGTTGTAGTATTTATTAATTTATGATGTTTTTTAAAGATAGAAAATAGTTTATTGTTTTTAAACTTCATATATTTTTTTACAATAAATAAAAAAAATATTGAATAAATTATTAATATATCATTATATTATCGCAATATTCGCTTTTAAGACATATTTTGAATGTTTAATAATATTAATTTTTAAAATATAAAATATTTTTTGTTAATATTATTCAAAATTTTAGGAAGGTGGTATTCGAGCATTATACAGAGGATTTTGGCCAACTATTTTTGGCATGATTCCATATGCAGGATTTTCATTTTATTCATTTGAGAAACTAAAATATTTTTGCATGAAATATGCATCAAATTATTTTTGCGAAAATTGTGATAGAAATACTGGTATGATCAATTTTACATTTTTTTAAATTAAAAATAAATTAAAATTATTAATAATAATATGAAAATATATAAATATAAAAGATATATAAAATATTAATATAATAATATAATATATATATAATAATATAATAATTCTTAAAATCTTATATTAATATAATATAATAATTTTAATTTAATTAATATATGATAATGATTTATAATATGCAATATTTTAATCAATATAATAATCATTTTTTTTTAATTAACATGTAATCAAATTTTTCTTAACTTATAATTAAATTCTCAAATTTTTATATGCATTTTTGTATGCAATTAATAAACAATTTATCAAATAAAATTAAATTTTATAGTTTTGATTTATATAATTATTTTTAATATTCATTATTCATTAAAATTCATTAAAATTCAATTATTTATGTAATTACAGGTGGTTTAGTTTTAACTATACCAGCAAGATTATTATGCGGAGGTATTGCAGGTGCTGTTGCTCAAAGTTTTTCTTACCCATTAGATGTGACTAGAAGGCATATGCAATTAGGTATGATGCATCATGCTAATCACAAATATAGGTAAATTTATTAGTTTACAAAAAAAAAAAGATGATTCAAGTCTATTAAAGTTATGAAATATTTAATTTAAAATTTCTTTTTAGTTCTAGCATGTTACAGACTATAAAAATGATATACAAAGAAAATGGTATTATAAAAGGTCTATATCGTGGAATGAGCATTAATTATTTACGAGCAATTCCTATGGTATCAGTTAGTTTTACAACATATGAGATTATGAAACAAATACTACAATTAGACACAGGAATAAAATTGTAATTTATTTAACAAAAATATATATTTTATGTTCCATTTTTATATTTTAATATATAATTAGTAAAATTAACATTAATATCTTTGTACAATTGTTGAAATATAAATATCATTTCGATTTTATCTTATAATATAAAAATAATATTTCAAACATAACTTATGATTACTAAATTATATTATATTATTAAACATTTATACAAATTTATAACAAATGAGTCATATAGAAGTTAAACCGATCAACTGTATAAAATATTATTTTTATGAAAAATTAAATATTAATTATATATTTTAATTTTAAAATAAAATATTTTTTAAAAAATAGATTTGATCAATTTGGCTTCTAATAGCTTAAAGAAAATATTTATATAATATTTTAAAATATTATATAAGCAATAGTCATCATTGAAACAAAATTTTTTATATAAAAAATTTATCCGAATACTATAAAATCTTTAATTATTATAGTTTACAGTGACAAGATTGTTTATAAACATTCCATATATAAATATAATAATATAATATGAAAATATAAAATAAAAAAATATATTTTTAAGATTCTTTTACAAAAGCAAATTATTTTATAGATATAAAAAAGAAATATTTTCTTTTTATATATTGTAATTAAGATATTTATGAATTTTTTTATGTTTTTGATTTTCAAATAATCTTTTTGATACAAAAATTATATTATATTATATTTCTTTTTATATAAAATATATTGAAATATTAATATATTTAAGAATCAAAGATACATTATAAAATAATTTTTTCATGACAAGTTAAGATTTAATTTAAAATTTATTATATTTATTGTATTGTACATAATTGTGTTAAATAATAATATTAATAATTATATTCAAAGAATATATGTAAAAATAATTATAATGAAAATATTGTAATTTTAAATTTAAAAATGATTTATAAATAAATTATACATTTTTTAAAAATTATTGTTTCTAATTTAGATATTTTATATAAAATTTTTTAATTAAAAGCAGAAATAAATAAATTATTCAAAATAATGAATAATATATAAAAAATATAAAATATTTTTAAATTAATATTATAGTTCAAGAAAATTTATTTCATTACAGCAAATTTTTATAAATTTATTTTTCTTTTTTTAATTTTTATTAAAAATTAAGAATAATAAACATATTTATATAATTAAAATGAGAATAATATTTTTCTAATTTTTCATTTATTTATATTCTACAATCTTATCAAACTTTTCTATTCTTAGCTTGTATTTATATAAAGCAGATTAATACAAAGAATGTATGTTAATGATTTTTCTTATACTATTATACTAATTATATATTGTAGCATATGAATATTCGATATAGTGCCGACACCATGACATCATTTTAATATCGTATTAATTTCATATTAATTTATTACTAAAATATTTGAGATTATATATATTTTTATGTTGTATGTGTAATAATTATTTATAAAGAAAATATAAATAAATTTTATGTTCTTTAATAACTTTACCATTTGTGTATAATTTGCAATCAGTTCCATTAAAATTTATAAACATTATATAAACTATCTTCAATTAAGCAAAATCATTATATTAAATATCAAAAAAAATTATTTGAAGTCATTACTATTTCTAATAATTCGTAAATCTAATACACAAAGAATAATATTAATGAAAAATTTTTTTTATTTAATTGATATAGACTTTTTATTTTTCTTTTTTTGTTTCTATTTCTAAATATATTCCTATATCACTTATATATATTTTAAGATGGTAAGTGAAGATAAAACAGCAAATATTATTTGCTGTTCTTGAATTTTTTTTATTACTATCATTTATTTTTATCTAAATCCAACATTCTTACAAATAAATTCCAGTTTGAAAATGAAAACAAAACCAAATCAATAATTAATATATTTTTTGTAAGAAAAACAAAATTTTTATATAAATTTATATAAATAATGACACCACGCATAAATTTTAGAAAAAATATAATATATAATTATATAATATAATAATAAAAATAATTAATTATTTTTAAATAAAAATGTATTTTAAAAAATTTGTATTGAATTAATGAAAATTAATTGAAAAATGCTGATAATTATCTTTCAATATTAAATTTTGATGTTATATTACAATTTTAATATGATTTTAATAATAATAATAGTAATGTAAAAATGTAAAAACAAAATTTATCGATTCTAAATCTTTAAAAACATCTTGAAAATTTTAATTAAATAAGAAATTAAAAAATTACTCGTAAATATAGGTAAATATACTAATATATTATATAGCAATATGATTATATCCTACCTATTTTTAATATTTTGTTTTTTAAAGATTATGAAGGTTATGAAATTTATATCTATTAATTAATCATATATTTACAATTTTTCATTTTAAGAGTAATCAAATGAAATTAATATTTAAATATATAATTTTATTTAAATTAATTCATATATATTTAATAAACTTATTGATATTTTTAAATAATAACTTATTACTTTTTATAAAAAACAACCGTATAAATAATAATTTATAATTATTCGTTGAATAAATTTTATTGCATTGAATTAAAAATGAAATTGAAAATTATCAGATCATAATCAGATTTATTATAAATAAATTATTTTATGTAATATTCTGCAATATTGTTTATATTATTCAAGGTTAATGAACTCAAATTATTTCAAATAATTTTATTATAAAATAATTATAAAAGTATAATAAATCATAATAAAGTTTTTTTTAAAATTGAAAATTATATCATTTGAGGCAAAATATATTAATAATATTTCATATAATTTTTCAAAATAATAATTTTATAGTATAAATATTTCAAAATGTATAGTAATTTATTATATTTTAAATAATATTTTATTACTTATAAAATATTTGAAATATTTTTAATTATTACACTATGCATAATAAATAATTTTGCTCATTAATTGTTTAATTTCAAGTATTTATTTTTTAATTAACTGTTTTGTAATAAATATTTTTTTGTACATATTTTTAAAATATCACTAGGTTATGTAATTTATAAATGATGATATTAATCATAAAAATTCACCTATTTCTATAAAAACTTATTTTAAAGTCTTCATATGTTAAAATACATATGTAAATAATTATTTATATTACTAGTCTTAAGACTAATAATTAGTTTTGCTTATTATATTAATCTTATATTACAGTAATTCAATGTGTAAAAATGATATAAGACTTTCTAAATATGATAATATTTCTTTATTTTTCTAGCTTCTGTTTATAATAAGACGACATAATATCAGTTCAAGGCATACTGTTTACCTTACTTCAGCAAGCTGTTTTGAAATTTATAACTTAATATTTTTAAAATACACAAAATCTAAAACAGAGACATACTGAAAGTTAAAAACCAATTTGCACACACATAACTCACAATTGTTTGAAGCATTTTTGTAATCAATATAAAATGATATACATATTGTGAAAGATATTAGATCAAATTGATATATACAATGTAGTCAGTATATGATATATAATAATTATATACACTTATAAACTGATTGTATTACTTTGAATTTATGTACATAAAAAATAAGTTTGAAGCATTTTAAGTTTTAATCTGAATTTATGCATGTGCATTGGTGATTGATCAATTAGCTTTTAATAAAAGCATATTTCTTTTTAGAATATTTTAATCTGTGATCACTTTGTAAAAATATGCATAAGTACATAAAATATTAACATTTAATATTAAAATTAAGAAAAAACAAAAAAAGTCTAATGTTTACAATCAAAAGAAAATGTTTGATTTAATGTTACATATTCAAAATAGAACTTAAAAAATAAAAAAATAATGAAAATATTAAATCTCTAAGAACTAACAACAAATATTATTGTGATACTGAAATTTATCTCTTTTATAAAGAAGATAATAAATAGAGCAAATACAAAATTATCTATACAAGCTCTAAGATCTATTAACTTTTCTAAAAAACATTTAATTCATTTGTTTTTATTATAATACTATAATTTCTTTTTCTATGAAGGAAATTTTATCTTTATTTTTTTTATAATCCAGAAAATATGTATAAGAGATAATATATAAAACAAAAATGAAAAAATGCTTAACTCTGCATCATGCAGAAAAAATTGCTGTATCCATAATGTTACGGTTCATGTGCTATTTTCTTTTACATTTACAGTCTTAGTAAATTGCTATAGTGTGCATCTATACATTTTTCATCTTCTTTTTATTTTATTGCTACTACTGTATCGTTTCATTATGCATATGTTCAAATTACATGCTTATTTCTATAAAATTATGTATTCTGTGAATACATTCAATGCTTATGTATACAATGCTTGTGTATTGACGAGTATGAATGATTTGACACAACACAGTAAATTCATTTAACTTGCATTACACATGTTTATTTACCAGAAGCATCATTTTATACTATTAATTAGTAAAAAAGTTGTCGGTAGGTTCACAAGCAATTAACTTTCAATTTAATGATTGTGAATGTACGAATTCGTTCAGTATAAAGTATGTGTTTCACTTAGAAAGTTTTAACAGGATTGATGCAAAAGTCTTTTCTATTCTTAAATTATAAAACTTAAGATGATCATATAGATTTATATTTAATATAAACATTTAAAAACTGCATTTATGCAAATAAGTTTGAAAAATAAAAGCAAAAATAGCATAAGTGAAATAAAATAAATGCTACAGAATAAACATAAATGATGAGTTTGCATTAAATTATATTTTTGTAGGATAATTATAAAAATAGGACTTACACAAAATTATTTTGATCTATTTGATAAAACATTATTATTATAAACAAAAATATTGATTGCTATGATTCTGATGAATTATTATGTGTAATGCTATATTACAATCATTAATAAAATTCACTAAAGAATTTATTAAATTGTTCATATGGCACAATTTGTATATGCCGAATTTACTGTTGCATCAACCCTTTTTATATTTCTCTCAAGTGGAACATTTTATGCTCCATTCATTCTAATAATTATGTGACACTCTCTTAAATATAAACTATTATCATTTTGGTATATTTTTTGAAACCTTAAGCAACATTATTTCTATTCAGTACACGTAACAAAGAATTTTGTTCGTATAAACAGTTTTTCAATAAGTTAATATTTGTTAAGGTTTCAAAACAATACCATGCAGTTTTTTCTACTTATTATGTTCATTTTTTTTGTTTTGTTTCTTGATAATAAAAATACAAGCAATACAATGAAGTAGAACTTAATGCGATACGTGAATTTTAATTGGTACGTGTGTACATTATTGTTTGTTTTCTTCTATTTGTATACAATTAATGTTGTGTCTACATGTATGGTGTGGGACACACGCGAAATATTCAATTGTGTGTTCCTTTCTCAACAAGACACCACAAAGTGAGTCATGATATAATACTTGAGACTATAATATAATGTGTAAGGATAGCTGCAACCTTACACTTTTATTGATGTTCTATCATAAATTATGTTTAGTGGCATTGCTATAAAGCCTGATTTCCATACCCCTACCTTAATAGATAACTCAGGGATTTGACTCTTTACAAGAAATAGTCTGGTGTCCGCCTAGTAACATGTGGTTCGCCGCGTCTTGGAGCTGGGTCAAATTGAAGGCTAAAAAAAAAAAAAAAAAAATTAAAAAATAAAAAATAAAAAAAATAAGATAAAAAATTACATAAAAATGAATATGCAAAAAAAAAAATTATAATATGAATTTTTTTTTACTTATCATCTTATATAAAATATATATAAAATTGTTGCACTTACAATGAATATTTTAAAGCATCATCTAATTCCATAATTGCAGCTTGATTTCCACAACGATAGCAATAATTAGGTGCTGAGAAGATGGTTACAACATTGCGATCATGACACCTATAATAATAAAATATGTATATATATAAAAAAACTTTATCAATAATATTTAATAATATTTAATAAATTATATTAGATAAATAATAAATATACCAATTATAACCCTCCATAACTAATTGATGTGCTCGTGATACTAATGTTAAGCCATTAGAATGATTAAAAGTTTCTGAAATATCCTGTCCAAAAGTATATCCTGCTCCACGAGGAGAAATACCCCACCCTCCTCTATCATCTGGATCTGACCACAAAAGATCACACATAGGACCCTAAAATAATGTGAATAATATTATATATATATTTCAAATTTAAAAAACAATTACAAACACAAACCTCATGTGGTACTTCTTGGAGACGATCTAGGGCACGTATATGATCTAAAGTATCAATCGAAGGTGATAAACCACCATGTAAACAAAATATTTGACCATCTACTAATGCAGTTAATGGTAAATAATCAAATAAGTCCGTGAAGAACTTCCATACATTAGCATTGCCATATTTACGCAAACATTCATCATAAAATCCATATACCTGTGTAATTTGTCTTGATTCATGATTACCTCTTAAAATAGTTATTCTTTCTCTATATCTGACCTATGAAAATAAAATTTTATTAATTGATACAAAAATATAAGAAATATAATGTATTTTATGTATATAACAATCTCAATATTATATTTATATATAATATTTATTCAGAATTGTACCTTGAGTGCAACAAGCAAGGTAACAGTTTCAACAGAATAATAGCCACGGTCTACATAGTCACCCATAAAAAGATAATTTGTATCTGGAGATTTGCCTCCTATTCTAAACAGTTCCATTAAATCATGAAACTGTCCATGTACATCTCCACATACTGTTACAGGACATTTTACTTCTTGTACATTAGATTCTTTAGCTAAGATTTCTTTTGCCTATAAAGTTAAATTAATTATCATATTATTTATAATTATTGATTAAAAATTTTTACTTTAATATTATACTTTAATATTTAATATATAAATATTTAATTAGATAATTTAAAAATATAAATATAAAATGATTTAATTATCAATCAAATATTTGCAATATTATAATAATAACAATATTAATGGTATATTGAATATCTTTATAATAAATAATAAAAAAATTATTAAGAAAATAATATTACTTATATTATAATAAAGATTAAATTAATATAAATATTATTAATAAATACATTATCATTTAAAATAAATTAATAGTAACATTAATTGATACAACTTACGTGAAAGGTAGTAAAAATATTTTCACAAACAGCACTGATATGATAATATAATAGATTAGATAGTATAATAGATTAAAAAATGATATTATAAATATATATCTTATTTTTCTTCAATTGCAAAACATTTTTACTAAATATTTATTTATTATAATAAATTAAATAAATTTATAATTATCAATAAAATATCATTTATATTTTAAAAAATTTGTTAATTATTTTAATTTTGGATAAATAATAAATATTTATAAATGGATAAATAATAAATATTTGTTGCTTATGATAAATATATACATTTATTGAATTTCAAATTTTAATTATAAAATATTGTAATTTATTTATTATTATTAAATATTTTTTAAAAATTTATGTTCAAATATCACACACATAAACACTTTAAAGAAAAAGAGTAATTGTATAAGATTACTTTAATGTAACATTATAAGTATTTCGGATATTTAAGCATAAAAATTAAAAAGCATTTTATGTGCCAAAAAAATTTTATGTAAAAAGTAAAAATAAAATTGTCTATTAATTTCGCAAGTTTGTACATTACGAACAAGTAGCTGTAGAAATCTTGTCGAATAGCCCCGAACACGGTATTTTTTATAGCGTCCGATTATGATCGGAAAAAAAATACTTATTGAAACTGAATTTAGCAAAATTGCAAAACATAAAATATCGATAGTTCCTTTTTATATATACATATAATATATTCAAATATATTATAATGAAATTTGTACATGTCAAATTATGCTCGGTGGTTCAGTGAAGTACAAATAAACGAACATAAAACAGCATAATGCAATTAATTTCAAGACAAACAAAAAATATCTTGATAAAGAAGATACACAAAAAAATTGATAGTGATGATTTTTAATGAATGAAGTACCTTCTCGCACAGTGATTTTACTTGGCTTTCTGTTAGTTGTTGGCAGTTATTTAATTGTTCTATCCATTGGTCGAGTTCTTTCAATGACGCCTTTTCCTCCATCGTACAAATCTACGCGTGAAGTCTACGGATAGCCCGCACTCTTAGCACATGTAATAAAAGTAAAGTGAGTCCGTCTCGTAAACTAAATCATTCGGTTTTACTGGAAAAGCTTTTTAACACAAATATCCCGATCCAGCACACACTCACAAAATGGCCGATTGCGAGTACTGATGGTGACGTCACACTCAATTCATGCGTGCTTCACTAGCTATAACCTGGATTATCATATTGACCAATCACGTTTGGCGTTTATCCTATTTGAACCAATCGCATGTCGATTTTACTCTTGTCACACGTACTATTGTACAACCATGATTGCATCGTTTTAACGACAATGATTATGTTTCTCTTGGAAACATCAGTCTTACAATAATGTACAAATATTAGATAAAATTCAATAGAAATAAAAGAAAATTTTAATATAAAATATCTAATAAGATTTTCAAGTTTTATTACAAATTTAATATTACATTTTGCATTTGATTATTTATATTATTATATTGATATAAAAAGTTATGGAATTTGATTGACATAATAATTAACAACAAAATCTCAAATTAAAAAAATAAATTAAAAATTAAGTTATATTATAAATATTAGTTAATATTTATTAATAGTAGTTATTAAACGAAATAATAATTTTCAAAATACAATTATAACTTGAACTTAGCTGCTGATCAAAAAAAAAAAAAATAACGGATCAAAATGATTAGTTTTGGAACATATACTATTCTCAATTTTTTGTTCTTTAAAAAAATAGTTAATTTTACAAATTCTTGTTTAATGATAATCTCAAGTAATTTTGTGCTTTTATTATATTTCAATTATTAAATAATAGAATCAACAAATTTAAAAAAAAATATATTAACTAAATATTTATAATATTCTATTAATTAATTTGAAAATTCAATATTATGCAATAAATATTTAAATAAATTTAATAAATATTAAAAAATAAATTATTTATTATTTATTTAAAGTAAAATATTAATTTTTTTTAATATATATTTATAATTAAGTAAAAAACAAGGTAAAATAACAATAATTTTTTTTTTAATATATTTTATTTGTTTATTTAATATATAAAGTTAAAATTGCTATTTAAAGCAAAATTCTAACTATATAATTATAACCATTTAAAATTATATTTACGATATTATAATATTTTTATAAAAATATTTTTCTTTATATTGCATCTTGTTATGCTTTTAAAGTTTATTTTTATAATTTTATTGTTTTATATATATTTTAACTATAAATTTTATGATTTAAATTTACATTAAATTATATATTTTAAATATTGAAATTTAAAGATTTTTGTTTATGTTAATAAAAATATTTTTTTAAGCATGAGAATATAGAAAAGTGGGAAAAAGAGACAAAAAAGCAAAAGAATAAAATACAAATGACAAAACAAGAATGAAAAGAAAAAAAAGAAAGAAAATTTCTTTAATTTTGATCAATTATATTTTGAATAATTTATAAATATTTTTTTTAAAAACCATATTTAGTCAAGTTTTTTCAATATTATAAACTATTATAATTTCATATGTATATATTATAAGTAATTTTTATTTTATTTTATAATTATTAATATTATTTTGAATATTTCATGAACATGTATTTTTTCATATAAATGAAATATTATTATAATTGAAAATATTAAATATATTAATATTTAATTTATATTTCTAATATAATAAATGTAGAAAATTCTAATATTTAATGTAATAATAATTCTAACACTTAACTTAATAATAAGATTATTACTTATTTTATATCTTATTTTATTTTTAAATTGAAAACTTATATGTAGATGTTAAATTAATAGAAGTTAAATTACTTTTTCATTAAGAATAAAAATTAAATTAATTATTTTAATATTTCTGCTATAGAGTTTTGAAATAATAATTTATTTCATATTTATTTTAAATGATAAATTTAAGAATAATTTCATTGAGTTCTATAGATTTCTATAAATTTTTATAGCAATAATGAAATTATATATAAGGAATATAATATTAAATCTACTCTGCATATATAAAATATTTTAAATGTTAACATTGTATTTATATAGGTACTTGGAAATTATTTTACTGTATCAATATAACATTAATATATGTTTGAATATATAAATATATTATATTTTAAGTACAGTAAATATCTTTTTTTCTTTTTGTATTTACATTTCAATCAAATTTTTATTGTATATCAATGTTGTAAATAAATATATTTTAAAATAGTTCATAAAAACTTTTCATTATATGAACTTTTAATTTATGTATATGATTACAAATATTTTCAATATAAAATTAATATTTTTATAATACATAATTGTATTATAAAGCTATATAAATGTACTTCATTTATAAATTAAAAATAATTTTCAATGTTTATTCCAATAATTTATTTTATATTTGTTCAAATAAAATAGAAGAATTGCATAATAATTAAAGTTTTCAATGGATAAAATAATGTGATTTATGAATATAAGGCACTTAGCATTTATATACTTATATAATTTCAATATATTTTACATATACATATTATAAGTAAACATAAAACTACAGTATATGTAATATTATTTAATTTAATGAAAAAGTTTATAAAGTATAAAGTCAATTACATATAATACATATAATAAATACTTTATAGAAATTATGATCTTTATAGTAACATTGAAAGATGAAATAAATACATTGAATATTTTGTTATGAATATTGCAAACACAGATAAAAATATTTAATTTAAAAATAATAAGTTTTTATGATTTTATATATAATATTAAATTAATATTTAATGATTTTTTCTATTTTTAATATTTTCATAAAGTATTTTCATAAATATGTATTGAATATCTTTTACTTAAATTTTTTTTTTTAATTATAAAATTATTTTATATTATATAAAGTTTCTTTCTTTTCTTTCTTTTCTTTCAGTATCTTTAAAATATCTTTAAAGACATTCATAACATATCTTTAAAACATTAAAAATTAAAAAAATTAATGCGTATGTATTCAATTGAATAAAATGAAAAATATTACGTAATCATAATAAATCACATTATTCTTGACTTTAAAATTATAAAAAATGTTGAACTATTGAACTTTTAAACATTTATATTATTTTTTGTTAAAAAATTTACGTTTCTAATTATTCAAAATAGTAACAAATTTCAGTTCTTTAACAACAATATTAATTAGATTATTAACAAAATGTAAAATATAAAAAAATACATTTTATAGTTAAAAAAAATTGTAATTATTTTTACCTTTTGCTAATAAGAGTATAGGTATTTTTGATTTATTTGCTAAAAATAATCTTTTAAAAGCAATAAAAAGAGATAAGTAACAATATCAGTAGATATTATTATAGATCAAAGAATCTCTATCAGAGACATCTATTTTGTAAAATAGTATTTTCTATCTGCAAAGTGTTGCATCTAATTGAACAAGCCATGGCAGCAATAATTTGATTTTTCTTCTGTAGTTTGGATCTTTGGCAATAGGATTATGTTCTAAATATACAGTCTGTAATTTCTTATTAAGAGCTAAATTCTCTATAGTTATCCATTCCTCAATTTCATTGTTGTTTATCTAAAAAAATAAATACTATATATCAAAAAATATCTAAGTGAATATATATATATATATATATATATATATATATAATTTTGTATATTTTTACCCAAAACTCTTCTAAATCTTCAAGATGTTCAATATTTTCAATTTTTTTTATTTTATTATTTGCTAAATCAAAGGTTGTTAATTTTGAACAATTTGATAATCCTTCAATACATGATATACCATTTTCAGATAAATATATTTGGTCTAAATTTTTCAATTCTTCTAAATTTTCTATTTTTGTAATACGATTACTTTGAAGACTTAATAATTGAAGATTTTGTAAACATCCCATGTTTTTAATTTTTGTTATTTTATTTTTACCAAGAAATAAATTTGTTAGATTTTCAAGTCCTTCAAGATTAATTATTTCTCTTATTTTATTATCACCCAATTCAAGAGTTACAAGATTTTTTAAATGTGATAAATTTTCAATACATTGAATCTTATTTGATGATAGAAACAATTTTTGTAAATTCAATAAATTCTCCAATCCTTCTATTTTTTTGATACGATTGAAAGATAAATCTAAAAGTCTGAAAATATATAATAATTTTATATTACAATTCATATATTAATATATAATATATTAATATTATAAAAATATAAAATATTTTCATCAAGATATTGCTTATTATATATAATTATTTTTTATTTTGTTTATATAAAAATGTAACATACTCCAAATTTACAAGAACATCCAAGTTTTCTATAATAACAATCTGATTATCTCTTAACTCTAACTCAACCAAAGTTGTAAGTGTATCAAGATTTTCAATTTTCTTTATCAGATTCCATGTAAAACATAATCTACGTATTTTCCTCAATGGTTCTAAATTTTCTAATTTTGTTAATCTTGAATGATTGAAATCTAATTCCTAAAACATAATTACATAATTATTTATATAAAAAGCATATTATAAATTATAAATTATTATTAATAAAGTTAATGAAAAAAAATATTAAAAACGAACTTCACTATCAGGATCTATGATAAGAATCTTTTCTGTTTCCTCATTCTCTTCATTTTCATTTTCACCTTCAATTTCAGCTGAACCTTCACTTTTATTATCCTCTAAAACGTGAATATGTTTTTATAAATCTATATCAACATCTGAATTTTTTTATATTTAATTATTGTGTTATAATAAACAAATATTTTTACAAACAATTACCATTATTTGCCATTATATCAAAATATAATTAATAATAATTTCAATAATGGAATTAATATATTCAGTTTAAAATTGCGTAATAAATTGTAATTAATTATACTGCCTTATAAAGATTTAGCATTAAATATAAAATACTACTGTAGTATTGGTTCGAATAATTTCAAATGATAGTAACTATACTGTAGTGAGTTCCATCTCAAAATGTGAATATAAACTATTATATCGTAAAAATGACAATTACACCGTATATGTTAAAATCGTATATGTAAAAGTTTGTTCTTAATTTTTACATTTTTTACAATAAAATAAATATTTACAGAAAAATTATTTTTAAATTCATATATTTAAGTAGAATTAAAAGTTTAATTCTAAGTTTAATAATAAAAAATGAATATAAAGCTATATTATTTAATAAACGATTCTTTTGTTTTTATATTTTTTCGCTGTTTTGAAAACACTAGTTTTATATTATTTTATTATAGAAATATTTTTAATGAACGATAAGAAATTTTTATAAAACTTAATGAAAACGACTATTAAATATAGATTTCACGGTATTGATTTAGAAATATTAAGATCAATTCACATATATTTTTAAAAATATATTAAAAAATTCAATAAATTATACAAAAATATTTTTGTCATTACTAATTATTTTCATATTTAATAATATCTCATTTAAATTAATTATAAAAGAAGATAAATGTAATTTATAAAATTTTTACTTGAATTCTAGAAGAAATCTAGGGATTAAATTAATGATATATTAAATTTGATGGTAATATTTTTATTTCAATATTTAAGATTTATCAAAATAGAGAAATTAATGTTTATTTAAATAATAATATTAATTATTATATTTATATAAAGAATTATATTTATATAAAATGTAATAAAATTAAAAGTTTGCTAAAAAGATATTAGGAAAATTATATGTTCATATTTTAATGATGTGTATTCCCTTTTATATATCATTACCGCGTCCGTGACTTTGATCTGTAGCTAGTCTAGTGAAGATGGCCGAAAACAATGGCAGTGATTATTGAGCTAACTTTGCATTCTCCTAGTAATTGTCAACAAAGAAGTTATCTTTAATTAAAAAGTAACTGAAGCATCTAACATAGTTACACGTGAGTATGATTTCTATTATGATTGTCGTTGTTGTTCAAAATTTTAACCTTCTCATTTAATATAATGGTCATTTAACGCTATAAGAAATAGTAATTGAACTTTTCATCTTTTCTTACTGTCATCTTGTCTAACATCGAAGAAAACTATTCGAACATTTTTTAGCATATTCGAAATATACTTTTCTAAAAATTTTCTGTAGATATTTAAGCATTTCTACGAACATTATATTCTTTAAATGTTTTTAAATTTCTACGATGTTTTAATGATTATTATCAAAATTATTTCATAAAATTTTAAGTTAATTTTTTTTAAAAACTTATCATTCTTTTTAATTTAATCTTTTTTATGTATCCTTTAAAAAATATAATATATATTTATCATATATCATTCATATAACATCAGTAATAATTTTAAATGATATTATATATATATATATATATATATATATATATATATATATATATATATGATTATTATTAATTATTTTAATCTTTATGATTAAAGCTTTACTTTATTATAAAATTATTTTCGTAAAAAATAATTTATTTTTCAGCTATTATTTTCGTTTAATTTCTCAAAATTTTTACATTTGAGCATATAATATAAATAATAGAAAATTACTAAAAATTAAAAAATATAAATTTGAAATTTAAAAAATTAAAAAAAATAGATATAATTCAAACTTGAAATTAAAGCATAAATTGATTTATATAATATTTATGATAGAATTGCAATTGTTAAATAATAAAATTATTAATAAAGTTTAATTAATAAAATTAATTAAATATTTATTATTAATATTTATTATTATATTCACAATTATCTATGTAATCAATGATTGTTTAATAATAATTTATTAAATAAATAATTTATTTTATATTATTATATTAAATAATATTAATTTTCATAAAAAATAAAGATCTTTTATAACTTTAAAAGTTATATAATAAAATGATATATTATTTTATATTAAATATTATTATATATATTTATATACATTTATATTGAATATATTATATATATTTATATATTATATAATATACATTATATATTTATTATTGATTATATATTTTATATATTTTTTGTTAAATCATATATAAATAATGATAGATAAATTATTATTATTTTTTTAGATATATATTATGGCAACTGCTATTCAAAAGAATGGCATGAAACCTTTAACAAATACATCAATAAATCATGTAGAAGATGTAAAGAATTTGAATGATACTGATATATGTAAAGAAGAGAAAGATGAAAGGATATTTGATGGACAAATTCAACCTTACATGGAGCCTCATGAACAGGAACCTCGTGAATTGGATATTGTTATTAATAATGTAGTTTGCAGTTTTAGTGTTAGATGTCATTTAAATTTACGAGAAATTGCATTAAATGGATCTAATGTAGAATATAGAAGAGAAAATGGGGTATGTTTTAATTTGTTTCCTGTTTTAATAAATTAATTAATTTTTTAATAAATTATTGTAATATAATATATTTCAATTATGTGTACATATATAATATATAATTGATGATATTCTTTAGTAATTCAAAGATAGATCAAAATGATTCAAAATACATATATATATATATATTCTGATATTTAGATTTTCTCATATTTACATAATTATTTTTTCAAAATATTTCATCTAATATTTCATAATATCTAAAGTATAATAATTATAATAATTATTTATAATGGAATGAAAAAATTTAAGATGATTTAAATCTATATTCAAATCTATTATTAATACATATACTGAAAAAATAATTGTACTATATCACAATGTATTAGTATTATAGATACAATATTTACAATTATTATAAATTAGCAATTGATATATTTCGTGTAAACATGTTAATCATATTAAAAATATTATTTAATATTTAATTTTTATTATTTTCTTTGCTTATGAAAAATTTAGCTTAAATGAATTTGGAATACAAATATAATAAAAAAAAATTCATATAAGCACATGTCTAATTAATTTCTAAATTAAGTTAGTTAAGTTTATTTACATTTTTAAAGAAATTTATTGTTTTCATTTTTAATTTTTAATTGCTCCAAAAGTTAGATTATCTTTATTATAAGTATAAATACTTCTTATCATTATTGAACTTATAAAAAAAAAAAACATGAATATCTATAATAAACAATATAATAATCAATATATTTATTATTGTATTTATATTAATTTTTCTATTCATAACAAAATATTTAAAAGTACAAATTCTTTTGATTCTATAATTTTTCAAATGTTATAGAAAAGCAATCAATAATTCTTTAATTCAATTTTAAATTTGATATATTTATTTTGCATTTTAAAAATATATGAATTTTTATAATTAAAGAAAGAAATTTTTTTAATAAACAGAATTATATTTGTAAACAATATTTTTAAAATATGTATGTTATAGATGATAACTATGAAATTAAGAAGACCTTATACTACTGCTTCTATATGGTCTTCTGGTAAAGTAACATGTACTGGTGCAACAAGTGAAGTTCAAGCAAAAATTGCAGCTCGCCGTTTTGCTCGTTCGCTTCAGAAGCTTGGATTTAAAGTACGATTTAATAATTATAGAGTAGTCAATGTATTGGGTACATGTTGCATGCCATTTGCAATCAAAATAACATCATTTTCATCATGTCATAAAGAAAATGCAGAGTGAGTATACTTACAAGCTCTTTTTTATTTATTTATAAGAATATATTTAAAAATATATAATAATTATATATATTATTTAGATAGATGTTAAAAATTATTTATAGATATATAAAATATCCTAAAAATGTTGAAACATCTATAATTCCTAAAGTAATTTTAAACAACATTTTTCCTCACAAAGACTTTTGTTATGGCTTTATTAACAAATTATCAACAAGTTATTAACAAAAAACATTGACTAATCATTGAGTACTTAATTAAGTCGCCACAATAGCGTTGGCTATGATTGAGCATAAATAAATTAAATTAAGCAACATATGTCGAAAAAAGTTGAATATTATAATTTTTTCTTATGATATAATTCGATATAATTTTTTAATAAAAATAATAAAATAAAAAATAATAAAAATAAAAAATATTTATATTCATATTTGTATATTATGTCTCATATTCTACAATATATATTGCTTAAATTTGTTCATATTTATTTGCATATAGCCAATATTATTGTCACAGTTTGACTAGATATGTATTCTATAATTAGCCAATGTTTTTTGTTAATAATTTGTAACAAAGTTGTAACTTTTTATAAAGGAAGTTATTACTTGAAATTACTTCAGGAACCTCCAAATTATAGATTATTTTCAATATTTTTAAAATATTCTGTATATATATATATTTATGTATAAAAGAAATAAATAAATAAATAAATATAAAATAAATAAAGATATATATATTTAAAATAATACATAATATATATATATATATATGTAATAATATATAATTATATATTTAAAATATGTATATATCATATTATGTATTACTTAATATTTAATTAATATTTAATATTTAAAAATATTTATATAACATTATTCATCATTTATTTTGTTTAGTTATGAACCAGAACTTCATCCTGGTGTTACATATAAGTTAAAAGAACCAAAAGCTACATTGAAAATATTTTCTACTGGGAGTGTTACTGTAACAGGTTTGTATTAGTATTGAATTACAATTTATATTAATTATATTTTAATAATTTTAATTATGAAAATATTCATATATATAAATGTATTTTTATTGCTTTTATTTTCAATTTTAATTCCTCTATTTATTGAGTAAATTGAAATGAATATTATAGCTCCCAATGTTGCTGCTGTTCAAGCTGCAATTGAATATATCTATCCACTAGTCTATGAATTTCGTAAGGAAAGAACAGCAGAAGACGAACTTGCCTTAACAACGAAGAAGCGTAGGATGGGGCTAAGTAAAAGAAGTCGTGATGAGTTCCTACACGATCCAGATTATATATATGATACTATGTTTTCTGATGAGGAAGAAGAAGAAGAAGAAGAAGAAGAAGAAGAAGAAGAAGAAGAAGAAGAAGAAGATGAGGGTGAGAGTGATGCCAGTTGGGACTGAGCTATTTATTTTGTTGCTCTTTTGTTAATTGTGAAACTGTTATACTCATATTTTCTTTTTTAAGAAAAAAGGATAAAAGAAATAGATACATACTGCTTTGTGTATAAAAGTGTTATTGTAAAGAGTGAAGTGAAGCATTCAATAGTGAAAAGACAATGTGCAAGTGTTAGAGACAAATATGCACATACAAGTGCTTTAATCATGGTTATACTAATATTGAATCAATTGAACTGAATTTCATTATCAAAACAATATCATCATAATTTACTTTCATTAATGATATGTATACGTACATAGATTCGTTCATATATATATATATATATATATATATATATATATATATTTATACATGCATGTATCTATGTACATATAAATGTTAGACATAGTAATGTATACATATTCATTGTGTTTAACAAACAACATCTCAACATTTCGAGTTCAAGTTCAACGTTTTTCATCTTTTTTTTTTTTCATTTCTTTTTAATAGAATTTATTATATTTAAATAAGAACAATTTTAAAAAGGACTTATTTGTGTAACCATGCTCCTTTATAATTTAAATAGTAGCACGATTCGCGTTTAAGTTTCTCATTATGTAATGATAGATTATGTACTGAAAAATTTTGATAGTGATGAAAAGCGTGTATGCATATTTTTGCTGTCTTTTGTTTCATTTCTTTCTTCTTATAGATATAATCTATTTTCGCTTAATTAACATACTGTGCCAAAGATAGATGTTCAAAATTTGAGGTAAAGTGATCAAGGATATAAAAAACTAAAAATTTTGTTTAATTATTACAATTAATTTTTGCATTACATATTATAATAGACATGAAGATATTTTTAAATGATTTTTTTATAGTAAATAACAAAAAAATTTATTTAATTTTATTTCATTTAAAAAAAACTTATTTTTTGTTGAAAAGTTAAAAAATGAAATATTGAGAAAAATTTTATATTTATCATTTGCTTTTCTTTTAAATGACTGTTTTTGATAGTAATAATAAAGAATACTATTTAAAATAATTATCTTTAGCTGTTAATTACATAGGCTTTGATTGCAGATGTTTTAATATTTGGCTTCATTATTTATATCATTGTACAGATTAGTTCCAAAATTGAATTTTAGTTTAATATAAATTCAGTCAGTTAAATCTCTCGTTTTTGTTATTTCAAAATATAAAAAATGAAGCATAAATCATATCAATGAAATGATTTATTTTATTTGTTGACGATTGCTTAAAAATTTAAAAAATAGGATAGTATATGTTTTTAATTTTTAATACTAATTATCAACATGTAAAAGATTTTTACTCATTTATTTATTTATCACTTGCAGTATCCTCATGACGATAAGTGCATTTGAATTATATATTATCATTGTCACTTGTTAGTCTGAATTAATCAATATTGTATATCGTAGTTTGAGAAATAATAAATGATATTTGTTTCATAAAATATTCAATATAAATATTTTAAATACGAGATGCTTGACTGACATAAACCTATTTTTGAATTCTGTTTGATAATAAAAATTATAAATATATAAAATACAAAATTTTATACAAATATTGTATTTTAAGATTAACAGAAACTTTTTCTAACTATTTTTCAATTATTTAAAAATATTAGCTAAACTAATATTATTTAAAAATATTACCTAAAATAAGATATAGTGTACATAAATCAAATTATGATATGCTAAATATATCAATATGCAATTAATTGCATATTCTTCGAATACAAAACGCCTATTTTATATTTGTTATTAATTATATACATGCATTTTTAATGATTCTTTTTCATTACATATATGTAAATGAAAAAGAATATTGGTAATATTATAATAAAAATTAATCTGTACCTCGTGCCATACAAGATTATTTGTTATAAAATTTCATTGAATTTTTATAATTCATTATGATTTATTAATTGTATAACTGCGAAACAAATTTTTTTACAAAAATGCTATAGTCACTGCCCTTAGTATATTTGATGCAAAAAATAAAAATTCAAATTTAATCAAATATATATGACATTAAACAACGAAGCATCTTAATTTTATATTATCTACAAAATGCAATATAAATAAAATTTTTTCTTTAGAAATGACAATAATGTCAGAACTATTACTAATATTTTCAATTTTATTAAATTTAAAGTATATATAAATATTTTTTTTTTCTAATAGAATTTAAAAATATATGATAAATATATATAAAACACTATATATTCATATTTGCTATCATTTTCAAATAAAATATTATTGATTTTAAATTTTAAATAAAAATTATTCATAAAATTGTCATAAGCATTCATTTAGCATTTATAAATATAATACATAAATTCCGTTTTGTTAAAAAATTATACAATTTTTTTATTTCTATTTAAAGTTCTTCATGTATGTTAACTAATTTTAAATGATTTTTTTTAAGTTTAAAATATAAAATATATACATTGAAATTTTCGATGTAAGTGAAAATAAATTTATAACATTTTTTCTATCTTAAATAATGTAATACCATCTTTAATGTGATTGTTAGATGTGTTTTTTTTTTATGTGAAATAAATTTTTTTATTTATGAAACTATGCAAACAATGCAGTTTATAAATTTAAAATTTTTCAATATTAGAAATATTATTCAATATTTAAAATATTTCTTTTTTAATTGAATAATTTAAATATGTGTTTCTGGCATTGTTCCATAAATTTTAAAATTGGAATTTAAAGAAATTATTTAAGAAAATTCAACAATATAATACTTTTTTTAATTCAGTATTTATATAAAAAAAAAAAATAATTTAATAATATTTCATGTTTATATAATCACAACGCACATAATGAATTTTTCTTATATTTTACAGCATTTTTGAAACTAAAAGTAACATTTATTGCAGAATTATTTTTTAAAATATCATTAATGTATTATTGTATGCATGAAGTACAGAAATATTTATTATTTATATGAAATAAAAGCTATATAATTATGATTAGGAATTGTGTTTTTTTTTTAATAGTAAATCTTATTTGAAATATTAAAAATAAACAAAAGTATTTCTTTAAATATTTTCTTTTAATTATAATTGGTGATATTTTATTTTCTTTTGAATACAATTTAATGTTGTAAAAAAAAAAAAAATATTACTATTATTATTATTATTTTTTCAAAGCATTTTTTGGTATATATTTTGGAAAATTTGAAAAAACAAGTTTATTAATAAAGTTGTATTCAAATTGAACTTAATGTCAACATGGAACTGCAGTGATATCATTAGTATTAATTTAAATTAATTTCAAAATAAATTATTGTATTACAATTGAATGCATGACTGCCAGTCATAGACTATAATTATATAAATGCTATTTCATAGTTTAATTTGAATAAACATAACTATTTCAATGATTTTTTCAAATTCATGACAATAAAATATTAATTGTTATTGTTTATTGCTATAATATTGTATGTTTATAATAAATTCCTTTGATAATAATTTATAATAATAATTTATCTACTATCTTTATAATGAAATATTAGACTTTTCAAAGTAGTTCATGCACCATAAGTATTGGATATAATTGCTATAAATGTTTTTATTTCTGAAAACATTATATTTTAAATTTTTAAAAATTATCTTATGTTGCACGTACTATCTAATTTGAACAAATTAACTATAATTAACTTATTATAATTACTGCAATAGAAAAACAAAATTTTATTATTAAAAATGTGCACTTTTACCAAATTTGCTAAATTCCGTGTTTATTATTTTTAAATAGAATTTCACATTCCAGGCCACCCAATACTATCATTTTCTAGTCGGAGAATATATGTATGCCAAAGACAGTCCATAAAAGCATATTACAATTTAAAATAGTATAGATAACATGAATACATTGCTCAAGATTGATTACATTTAACTATACTATTCATAGTAAAATGCTTATTATTAATGGAAATATATAACAATTTTCCATAATATTTGCAAATGAAATATTATTTTATATATTATTACAAAAAAAAAGAATTTATTGAAAATTTTGGTAGAGGTGAACATTCTCTGTCAATTCTTTTATGTACTTTATAATCACAACATTCATTAATATTTTGATAAAATATAATTTTTTAGCATATTATTTTATTAATAACTAATTTAATATGCATATAAATTAGACATATGAGCACATATCTAGTTATTCCACCGATTTTTAAAAATAGTTAATTTGCAGCTTAATGTAAAGATTTTTAGATGATATAAATATTATGATATTAAATAAAATTTTATAGATTCAAATAATTAATTAAAAACTAGAGATAATTTATAACATATTATAGAATTAATATTAATAGAAGTTCTAAGTTCTTGATGTTATCATATAAATATTTCTTCTTATATTTAAATTATTATTAACATCATGACTACAACATAGTTATATTAGTTTATAATGGGGAAAAAAATGTAGAAAAATGTATTATATGACATTATATTAATTGAATACATACATTATATGCAGTAATATATATAGTAAATCTTTCAATCTTTTAATTCAATATAATTTTTTTATTCATTCATTATATAATATGATTGAACTTTTAAGCAATATAGATAGTTATTATTAAAAAATATTATTAATCATATATATATATATATTTTTTGAAAATTAATCTGTAGCAAAGAAATATATTACTCAATTTCAATTTAAATTATTTTTTTTTATAAAGTTTTTAAAATTTTTTATTATTTTGTTTGAAGATAATTTATGTATCAATATGATATATTATTAATTTTTTATTAAATTATCAATAGTATTAATGATAATATAGTAACACACACACACATACATACACACACATATATATATTATTTTCAAGTATAATACAAAAAGTAATATTGCATGAATGGCCTTTTCTAGAAGCAATGTGTATTTAGAATACGTTCAATAGATATTATAAATTTTGAATTTAAGAGATGTTCACACTCATTGAATTCTCAAAGAAACTTATTGATTATGATTAAATGATTTTTTATTTATTTAAACGTAAATAATTTTTAATTTATTGCAATGTTTATATTAAATATTAATGTATGAAACGAATAAAATAAATATAAACGAAAAATATAAAAAAATAATAAAAAACTGTATAATTTATAAAATATAATTTATAAAATATAAGAACAAGCCATTCATTATTAATTTATATGTAATTTTTCATTAGGCATATATGTATTAAAGACTGTTAAATGAACTGTAAATGAAAATTTTTATGTAAATGAAGAAATAAAACATAACGATTAATTTAAATTGACTTATTTCATGTACATACTTGGCTTCATAAGTATAAATTTTATAAATAAAAATATAATTTATTTATAATTGGAAATATCTTTATATTACAAAAATATTTTGAATATAAAAAATAAATTTCAAAAATATTATAAACATTTTTATATTCATATTTAATATTATAATTAATTCTGAAATATACTAAGAAATTCATTTATTGTTGGATAATAATGTAAAGCTATACTCATAGCATCCTGTTAAAAAAAATGTTATTGTTTTTAAAATAACTTTTTATCTAAGATATATAATTAAATATTAAAAATTATTGTATTTATTAATATTTATTATATTATATATTATTATTTTGAAAGTTTTATCATAAATTATATACAATAATTATATTTTATTACTAACCTCTTTTGTGCTAATATTTAATCCAGTTTTGCTCAATGTACATTTATAAGGTAAAACTGAATAATGATTACTAATATTTAAAAGGCAATTTATATTGCATTCTTCTAAATCTTCCATCATATCCATTGGAATATCTTTTAGAAAATATTTATTTTTGTGATTTTTAAATGGCTGAAAAATATAAATTTATTAAAAAATATATTATTAAATGCATACAGTTTTTTTATTTTTAATTATAATGATTTTATAGAAAAATATTTTGAATATAATATTTTTATATTATCGATTATAATTAATTAATTGATAATCTTTCAATATAATTATTTTAATACAAAAATTTCTAAAAATTAAATTAATGAAAACAATTTTATTTAACAAATATTTAGTTTTAATTTATAATACATAAAATATCATAAAAAATTTTTTCTAAACAATTGAATAAGTAAATATTTGCATTTCAATTTTTAATTACTTTTAAACGAAAATTTTAATATTTAATTATATATTTTAATTATATTTTTTTATAACTGATATAACTGAAATGGAATATTTACATACCTCATCATACCATAATGCTTCAACAATTTCTTGAGCATAAATAGATATTGTATAAATTTTTTTCTTGAATAACTTTTGTAATTTAGGAGTTTTTAATTGCAAACTTCTATCGCGATATCTATGAATAAATGTTGAAATTAAAAAATTATTTATAAATATAAAAAAAATAATAAGATATATACCTTAATAATAATTTACATATTTTTGATAAAATCGCAAGATGTTTTGTAACAAAAGCTCCATAAATTACTGCAGAAGGAGCTAATGTAAAAAATAATATAGTACTTTGATTTTCCAATATACAAAGCTAAATATTTTCAATAAAAAAATTAGACAATTGTATTATTAATATTTCACATATAATAATGTTTTCATTTAATAATAACTTATTATTATTATATTTAATTATTTATTCATATTCAATTATATGATTATTTATTCATATTTACCTACCTCTTCATAAAATGATAATGCTTCTGAAAGTAATAAAATATTATATGAATGTATATTTAAGCCAGATACAATAAGCTCTTCAGAGATTTTTGTAAGAATAGGAATTACTTCTTCTAAATTATCCATTGTACTTTGTCCTAAAAATGGTGCAGGTGTTTTATGGTAGCATTCTTTAAATCCTTGACTAATAAACTACAAAAAATATTTTAAAGACTGTTTTAAAGATGTTTTTAGATTTAATTCTATTATTTTATTAATAATTATATTATTTTTTTATTAATATTAACTTTAATATTAATCTACTTTCAATAAAAATAATTCATGTAAAATAATTGAGTTATTGATATAAAAAATTATAAAAATTAAAATAAATAATAAAATAATTTTTTTAACATACCAAATTTGTTATCAATATTTTTAATGTTTTGATAATTTCACATTTTATTATTAAAGATGATTCATAAAACATATTTTGTACATGCACTAGTATTTTTTCTTGTAAATCTAAAAATATTTTATTTTTATAATATATGTTTTTATTATTTTATTATTTTATATATATATATATATATAAATATTAAGGGATTATATACACATTAAAAAAAAATTAAAAAAATATGAGATCTTTTTAAATTATATTCCTTTAACATATAAATTTATTTTATTTATTTTAAAATAAAAAAGATTCTCTAAATTAATATGGTTACTAATAATTCTTTTAGATATATGTAATATTAAAAAAAAATATATATATGAATATATATATTTTCACACAATAATAATCATAAATATTCAATTACAAATTATTTTTAAAAGTGTTCTTTTTTTATTTATATTATTTTTTATTATATAATAGTTTGCATAGAATCCCTTAATAAATACATTTATTGAAAATATACCACTGATAGATAGAGAAGTCATCCATTGTAATAACATTAGTAATTTTGATTGATATTCGCCTGTATTAAAATACAAATATTCACTAAGAAAATGATTGACAACAGGTATATCTTGTTGCATATATCGTGAAAATTCTATAGTCATATCAAGTAACTTATTAATTTCTTCCATAGAAAATTTTTCATTTTCTAACATAAATGCTGAAATGAAAAACATTAAACATTTTTCTAAAAAGATATTACATATGTTTAAAAATAGATGTAATACACATTATTTGAAATATACCTCTTATTAAAGTATTATAAAGATTATAAGAAAATCTACTTTGATACTGGAAATTACTAAATGTAAGAAGATGGTATCCAGCAGTATTACTTAAAAGAGATATAGCATTACATGGTAATTCTACACTTAATTGTAATTTTCCCAATTCTTCTATGCTGAAATATTTTAGAAAAAAAAAAGTATAAATCAATAAACATTTATAATGATAAAATTTATTTATATACCTAGAAATGTCGAAAATAGATTTTTTATTCTTCTTTTGAAAAATACTAGAACCAATTTGAAAGTATCCTACAGATGGTAATAGAGATGTCATAGTTTTCTTTGTTTTCTTAGACTGTCAAAATTAAAAAAACTGTAAATTTTATTTTTAAGTAAATTTTATAATTATTATACTTACTTCAAATGTATTCCAATTAAAATATTCCAAATGTAAGTCTTGTGTTTGTTGAATTTCTAAACGAGTTTTAGCATCTTGAAACATTAATCGTAAAACTTCAGGTATTGGTTTCCATACACTTTCTGTATTTATAGATTGAATTTTTTCAGGAACTAATTCAGGTTTGTAAGATTTAAATAATCTAAAATAAATTTTAAACAAATTAAAACGTTAAATTTTTAAAATAAGAAATTTGAAATCATAATTACTTACGACAATAAAACAATAATATGTTTTTGTGGTCTTGAATATTTCTGATGGAGAGTTAATAATCTAGATATATTTCTACGCGTTACATCTTCTGGTTTTGTCAATACATAAATGATACGTGCTATCTGTCTTTCCTATGATAATAGTAAAAAAATATTCAATAATATATAACTATATTATTATTACTATATTATATATATAGTTATAATAATATAGTATATATTTATAATATAGTTATATATATATTATAATTATTATCAAAATTTCTAATTAGAAAATATAATTATATATATTATAATTTTTTTATATGAATTATAATATAAACAAAAAATACATTTACCAATTTTTCTTTTTTTAATATTATATAAAAAAAAACATCATAATATATATTTATAACTTTTTTATCTATTAATTGATGATCCAATATACCTATAAAACATATTTTAATTTTAATCTCAAATATTCTATCTATTTTATTATATATTATATTTTAATATTAAAAATTAATATTAGTAATATTACCAATTATCCATTGCATAATAATGATGGATACAGAAAGAGGAAGTTTATTTATAGATGATAAGCACCAAGAAATAATGGATTTAACTGCATGTTCAGATATTTTATATTGAGGAATTAAACATTTTGCTAAAGATACCAATTTAGTAGCACCTATTAAATATATTTCTTACTTTATATTTTTTATAAAATGTAATTATTTACTTTTTATAATACATGAAATATACTAACTTAGATCTGTATTTATAATAATATTTACTAACAAATCAATATCTTCATCCATCAAACCTTTAGATGCAGCATAATTTTGTAATGTACCGAGAGATTCTTCAAATGCAGGATAATCTTTTTTCTTTACTAAAGAAATGTAATAGAAAACAAATAAAATATAATTATTAAAAAATGTATGACTGAAAAAGTTTTATTATTTATTATTTGAAAAATAAATATAAAATAAGTATCATTAGTAACATACTTTTTAAAACATTTAAAAATTTAACTACAATATTTCTTTCTTCATCAATTGACATTTTTGTATATCGTATAATAATTATTATTATATATTATGTTTATTATTTCTTAGTTAAATCATTCTTATCACATTTACTAATCAAATTATTATTTCTTTTAAAAATAAAATAAGTGAAATAAAATGCCATAACCTATTAATATAACAATAATATTAGAATTACTGGAAATAATCTTCTGATTTTAATGATCTTGATATATATTATAGAAATCAATATTTTAAATAACTTTTTTCTATGTAACGCTTGCTTTTAATTATCAAAATATTTATAAAAAATAATTATTATATTGAATTTTATTTCATTGCTTATATATATATATATATATATATATATATATGAATCTATAACAACATATTAACATGCGATCACTATATATATCTATCTCTATAAAGATACTTAATACTTATAAAGATGCAGAACTTAGAAATTGTATGAAATTCAATATTAACAACATTTTTTACAAGTCAAGAAGAATGCATGTATTAAAAAGAGTTATTTAAAATGTTAATTTTAATAAAGTTATTAAAATCAATATTAAGGATTTTAGAAAAATTTTTAAGTTAGCATTATAATTTATTTTAAATATTTTTAACTTATTTTTATATATCAACATACTATATTTTTCATACTAATTTATTTAATTTTATTTAAATAAAAATTTTAATATATCTTGTATTTTTTTTTAATTTATCTTATTTTTTAAAAATTCTAAACTATCATTACACATATACATATATATGTATTATATATTTATAATATATATTTAATATATTAATATATTATATATATAATATATTTACATAATTACATAAATATATATTTATTTTCTGAATCATTGTCAGGGCAACGCATCATAATGGCTGCCATCGAAATATTTTCGAGTTCTATTGATTATAAATATAAAAGTAAAATATGTTCTTTAAGCTTTTTCATTGTATTATTACTCATAATTTTATCATTGATTACACCATTTTTTATTATTTATAATACAGGAGGTATATTTTTTGACATTTTATTTTGTGTATATTACAAATATTATGATTGTTATATATTTTTATTATTTTATTGCTCAGTTAATTATTATAATTTTTAGGTTTCTTATTGAAGAATCGTGTACTCATGGAAAAACCTGATGTGTTTTTTAATTATAAATATTTATTATTAGCAAATAAAGATTTTAACACAAATCCTATAATCTGTTCAAGTTTTAAAATGTACAAGGATAATAAAATTGAAGATAATTGTACATTAATAAAGGTTTTATCTTTATATTATTATAATGTATATGTAAAAATTTTATAGTGCAAATTATTGTACTAATATCTATTCAATTTTTTTTTGTATATATTTTTTTATTAATCTTTTGAGATTTTAGGTTCGAGAAATAGATACAAATATTGATGGTAAAAACGATATTTTAAAATTTGAGGCTCATTTTTATACAAATAAACCTATAAAGTCTCTTAAACTTTTACTTTTCTTTAATTTTCAATTAAAGGTAAAAATTTGATTATTTTTATTTTATTATTTACAAGTAATGACATATTAATTTGTTATAGCAATTGTTTGATGCAACAATAGAATCTATTGCATTCTTTACTCATGTATTAAATGAAGAAGTTCAAAAAATACAGTTTTATGGAGATTTGGTATTGCAACAAAAAGGTCTTCTTACTAGTGAAGGCTTATATGAAGTATATAATCATAGTTTGGAAATTGCTGATTATTCTTTGAATGAAGTACTTATGCAAAATTTTAACAAAAAATGTTAGTAGCATTTTTCGGTATAATTTTTTGTAGTTAAAAAATATAATAAAAAAATAAAATTTATTTCAGTTACAGCTAAAATAAATAATAAATATATAAGTGAACAAATAGGTAATGTAAATGAAAATATAATAGTCATTCAAGGAGAATTATTTTATAGAGAACATTTAATTTATTATCAGCCTAATATTTTGGAAGAATTAAAATGGATATGGGTGCAGTATTTTTCTACTTTTCTTGTTTTTGCTTATGTAGCAAGACATATTTTAATTTTTTTATTTTCAAATCGATATTTGAATTGTTATATAATAATACCATGGAAAAATAAATAATATGTATAGTAAATAATTATTATTTAAATAATTATTTAAATTATTTTTTTTTATCTTCTTTTTTATTGGATTTATAATTTTTTTTCGTAAATTGTAAATAGTTATTTAATTTAATTGTTAATGTAAAAGATATTAAAAATATTAAAAGTTAAAATATTAGAAATTTTCACAATATTTTTAATGTTATTTTTAATGTTATATTGTATATTATCTAAATTTTATATTTACAAATAAGTTTTTTAATTTATGCGATTTTTATTATATATTAAATTTATTATTTTATTATATTATAATATTATTATATTATAATATTATTTATATTAAATTTAATATGTAATATAATATTAAATTCCTATGTAATATAATATTTAAATACTAATATCGAATATCATAAATTGGATTATATAATATTAAATTGTTTATTTATATATAGAACTATATTTTTATGAATTCGTAAAAATAATAATTATATATAATTATAATAGAAAGAAAACAAAAAATTAATAAGAAATATTATATATATATATTTATAATATTTTCATTATATTACGATTATAAAATATAAATAATTATAATTGATTCTCTAATAATCGTTAATCGGAAAATCGTTATAGGAAAATCAATTCTCTTTTATTATATTAATAACTTATTGTAATAAATAACATTTATTTTTGTATTTTCTAATAGATTTAGATTAGTTGATAATAAGTTGATAAGTTGATATTTTTTTATATAAATTTCATTTTTAATGTTTATATTTAATAATATATAAATAAAATTAACAATTGTTCTTTTTCTAAATTGTTATTTAAAAATTCGCATAATTTTAGAATTATATACAAATATAAATAATTTTAAGTTACGTAATATTTATTTTGAATATTATTTAAATAAATTAATTTTGAATTATTTTTTTATATAATATAAAAAAAGATAGAATATTTTATTATTTAAAATAAATTTATTATATTTTTACTATTTGTATATCTTAATTTCTAATATTTTATTTTGATTAATATAAAAGGAAGTGATTGATTTAATTATCAATTATCAACTATAAATAAATTTTTTTTGCCATTATTATTAATGAAATGATATAATGACTATTTTATAGAATTTTTTAAATCGATTTTATCTTTTTAAAATTTTTTAATTATATATAACTTCAATTTTTGAAAAATTTTAATTATAAATACATAGTTTTTTTCTTAGAGATTTGACAATTTATGATCAAAAATTATTGTCAATCTTAGCCAAGATCTTTAAAAAACGCATCAAATTGTTTATGCAAAACAGAATAGAAAAATTTATTTTCGCGGAATATAAATAAGAAAACTCTGACTTCGAAGAAATTTGAAAGAGTCTTGTGATTGGTGGAACTAACAACCCTTCTGAACTACGCGCCCGGCCAGTTCAATGAGGGTGGAGACTGCGCCGTGTTCCGTTCCATTCTTCGTTTATCATATTCTTGACACGCGATTTTTTTGTAAATTATTTATACCACAAATGTTTTAGTGGCCATTTAAAATGATTCGCAAACAATCGAGTATGTCAGAAAGAAATAAACCCTGATCAAAAGGAGAACAGGGTGAGTGTGTAGTGAAGAAGTGTTGTTAGTAGAGACTATTACGGATGCTGCCACGATATGTTTACCGAACCTTGCACCAAATCTTTCATATTTTTATTTCATATGGCAAACATTTTTGCTTTTCATATCATATTTTATTACATTTTAAGAACGTTCCTTTCATCAAGAAATATATTTTTGTAATTTCAAAAAAAATTTCTTTTTCTTTTTTAAGAAAAGACAAGTAATATGATGTTTTATAATGATTATAATGAATCGTATACAATGTTGTTTTTAAGTTATTATAGAAAAGTTGTGATTTTAAAGTGAAAACGAATTTGTATTATAATAGCATAGAATGTATATAATGATTTATTAATTTTTATTATAATATTATTATGATAATTTTAATAATTTACAATAATAATTAAACATTTATTAGTTTATTTTTTTATCATATTTATAAATTATGAATTATTATAATTTGCCATATGGTAATAAACAATAAAATTCTAATATTATATTATTATTATTATTATATATTTTAATTTTAATAAAAAAGATAATATTCGTAAAATTTGTAAAAATATTAATATTCATATTTAATAAACGAGTTTTATTTATCTTTTGCGATAAAAATATTTTTTAAATTTTTGTTAATTTCAATTGATAAGGATTATAATAAAAATTGAATTTTAATGTTTAATTACTATTATTTTAATAGTCATAATTACCATTTATGTTGTTATAAAATAATGATTAAGATAATTATTTAATCATGATTATAATTGCAAAAATTATTGTAATAAATTAAAAATTTATAATTAGTGTGTCAATACTGCAAAAATCATGTCCACAAGATCGAAAGAGAAAGTGGTGGCTGCTTTCCGAAAATTTTTTCGATCTTCAGAGAAGATTTCGGAACAAGATGGAGCAAGTAGTTCGACGAGTTCACCATCGAGAAGACTTTTAAGTCGGCATCGTCCGGATGCAGTCACTCCCACTGATGGTGCATTGTCGGATAATCCGGGTGTTAGCAATTCCAATCATGGCAGTTGTTTCTTCAAATCAAAAAAAACCACTAATAATTCTACGCAGGTATTTTACATTACATTTATTTATAAAACAATATAAATACAAACATCTAATATATTTCTTATATTAAAAATAAAGATTAAAACAATTTTGTCCAAGAGTAAAAGTTTTAAATATATTTATGTTTAAATTTTAAATTTACTTTACTTTTTAAATTTTAAATATGATAAATATAATAATGATAAATATATAATGATAAATGAAGACTTTTTTTTAAATATAATTTTATGATTACTTTTAGGGAACCATGGCGATGCCGGATAAAAGAGTACGTTTACGTCGTTTAATGAAGGAACTTAGTGAGATTCAAAGAATGCAGCATCGACTCGAATCGACTTTCACTGCAGAATTGGTAAATGACAATTTATTCGAATGGCATGTGAGACTACACAAGATTGATCCGGAAAGTGAACTGGCTGCAGATATGAGAGAGCTCAATATACCTTATATACTTCTCCACGTGGTATTTCCGGAGAATTTTCCGTTTGCGCCACCTTTTATGCGTGTTATTTCGCCAAGAATTGAAAAAGGATTCGTGATGGAAGGAGGTGCAATTTGTATGGAACTTCTTACACCTAGAGGCTGGGCTAGTGCATATACTATTGAAGCTGTAATCACACAATTTGCAGCTAGTATTGTTAAAGGCCAGGTGAAATGTCTTTTAAATTTTTTTTTATACTATTTTTAAATTTTCTATTTTATTCGAATTTTTATTGAATTCTCTCTCATTTAATACATTTATCTATTTGAAACATTATGTAATATTTTTTTCATTTTAATTTCAAGTATTCAATTTTTCCACATATCTCTTAATATAATTTTTAATAATGAATAATTGATAATATATTATATAATATATTAAATAATATATTAAAAAAAATTTATTTAAAATTATTTTTCAGGGTCGTGTAGCGAGAAAACCAAAAACGAACAAAGAATTTAACAGACGTTCCGCAGAAGAATCTTTCAGAAGTTTAGTAAAAACGCACGAGAAATATGGTTGGGTTACACCGCCGCTTGCAGAAGGTTGATCTACAGATCATTTGAAAAATAAAAGACTTCGTTGTATTTAAAAAAAGTATACATATATAGGTTATAAATGTGACTTTCGAGTCGGTATCATTATATTCTTTTTCCGTTTGGTAATAATAATAATATAATTATACTATAATAACATTAAATAATGCCTTTATAAATGCAATATTTGGGAAAGGAATAATGGACGATAGTAAAATATTTAAGAAATTTTTAAAATTTTTGACTTGGTTGAAATGATGAAGTTCGCTTATAAAAACTTATTTTTCAAATTTATAATGAAAATTTATTGTAAATCTATCGTGACATTTGTATGAACAAAAATCATATTATAAAGATACATATTTTATAATTTTCATAGTTATTCAAAAGTATTTCGATACTTTTGTTAACAAATTATGAAAAAATGTCTTTCATCTATGAATTTGATTTTATTTTATTAAAATATAAGAATAAGAATTAATGCTATAAACAAATTGAGCTTATATTACGATAATCGAGAAATTTGCGTTGCCAAATTATACGAATTACAATAAACATAACAATAAAATTAAGTAATTTTAATAAACATAAATGATACAAAATTTAATAAAATAATGTATATTTATAATAATTGTATTTATAAAACAGAGGAAGGAAAATGTAGTCTTTCAATTCAGTATTTCTTTATTTAAACTTCCATCTATTGAGTATTAAATGACAATTATAATTATAATGCCACAAATACATGCATAAATTTTTATATTGCGACGATTAATATTTAATTAATATTTAACGATTAATATTAAAAAAAAAGTATAGATTTAAGTTTCGTTTTTACTATGCAGTCAATTTAGGATAGAACAATGTAATATAATTTCTAATATATTGAAATTAAGATTATTCCATCATATACAGATACATATAAGTAAAATTCTGTACTAATTAAATTAATGCATTGATTGTATATTGATATGTTCTATTTACTTGATATGTTGTATTATTATTTATTATTGATCATAAAAAAATGAAAAATATAAAATATTGTTTATTACTTAATTTAAAATATTATTTATTTAGTATTAGTAAGTAAAAATTAATTAAATAAAAAATTTATTACATTAATATGTTATTATGTTATATTTATGTTATAACATTTATTGTTTACAAATTTATCATTATTATATGTTGTTTTCTCATTAATACTCTTTATGTATTTTTAAAAGTAAAAGTTTCAATTTTATCATTGTAATTAGTACAAAATAATAAGTTTTCATATATGAATTTTTAATTTTCATTAATCTATTTCAAAAATATTGTATAAAAATTACTTTTTTGGTTGTAAGTTGGCTAAATTTATATTATATGTATAAAATATATATATATATATATATATATATATATAATATATATAATATTTATATTATATGTATATAATATATATATTATAATATATATATTATATATTATAAGTTATATTTATATTATTGTAACTTGATAATAACATAATTTACATATTATTTAATCATATTATTAAATCATTTTTAAATTTTTAAATTAAAATAACAATCATGATTTTTCTTAATATTTTAGAAACATTCTTATCTCATAATCATACAACATAATTAATATAATATTCAGCGTTTTAAATACTAATATAATTATAAAATAATCATTATCTTGTAATGAAAAGTATTGTTTCAAAAACAAAATTATTAAATCAATTTATGAACTTGAGTAAATTAAAAGATAATTAACATATTCAGAATATTATTTATTAATTAAATTAATAACAAGTTATTAGTTTCAGTAGGAACAAATTTTATTAAAAAAAACACGGTATTTAACATTGTTATATTTAATTTTTTAATATAAATCTAGTCATATTAAAAAATTATATTACAATAATTGTGGGATTCAGAATTTCGTTATACACAAGGCACATCATCAATTATTATTTTTTGAATACATTTACTGTTATAATTAATCGCTTTAAATATATAAAAATACTCAAAAATATTTCAAAAAGAAACTTGTATTATATTAAGTTACAATAAAAATTGTAACAAATTATTTCATTTTTTTAAAAAACTTATTCATTAAATTATATACATTATAATTAAAACTGATATATTCTTAGAAAAAGACTAAAAAGGTATTATAATAATAGAAGATTAAATTTGTTAATCTACAAAAATTCAATACAATAATACATAGTAGTATAAAATATTATCTCTTTGTAAAACTTTTTTTACATTGTATAAAATATCCAATATTCTTAATATAATATGCAAGATATCGTTATATTTTTTATTTTTTAAATGCAAAATTTGACCAGATATGATATTACATATTTCTACAATAGTAGAAATATAATCATAAATTACATATTTTTCAAGTTATAGCATATCATTTTTTTGAGCATCTTATAAATAATTTATTAATAAATAGAATCAACAAAATGTGATAAAGAAACAAAATATTTAAGAATTATTATCACTTATCGATCACGCTTATAGCGTTTATCTATTGAATAAGATAGTTAATCAAAAAATATATTATAATGAATAAAATAATAATTCAATTTATATATACAATTAAATAGTTTAAATATTAAGATTGTACTATTTATATTATTATTATTATGCGTGTACTTATTTTCATTATTATAGATGCAATATTCACAATTATTTATCAAGAAACTTCCTAGATTTTTATCAAAAAAATTGTGCTCAAAAATTTCTAAAATAATGATCTAAAACATATCATTTAAATTCAATTGTATACTTATAAATATTATGTTTTTTAATTTAATTTTTGCCAATATACAAGATAGATCTCATATATTTATGAAATGAATACTTCTTGCAGTCTTATGATTTTATATTGTATGTATTATCTACAAGATGCAATAAACAATTTCATGATTATATACACAAAATGCTTAAAAATTGTAGGTTTATTTAAAGTAAATTAAGAAATAAAATAAGAATATTTATAAAGAGATTACAATTTTTTTTTAATAAAGTAAAACTCAATATTCTATTTTAAAAGAAAAAATAAAGATATAAAAAACAATATATTTTATTCATAGTAATACTATTAAATAATTAATTTTTAAAATATCTCTTTACTTTTAGATTTTTCTTAATATTCATATTTTCTTTTATTTGTGTGGAATAATAATTCATATTTACAAATTTTATAATTAAATAATAAGCAATTGGTTTTTTAATACATTCGTTTTATATCTAAAAATTTTTTACTATAGATATTTATTTTATTATACCTACAATTTTGAAACAGTTTGTATAAATAAAAAATTTAATGAATAAAATTGAAAGTGAAAGAAGCGATAATTCTCTCATATTTAAATATATTATATGAATGATATTTTGTTATTATATTATTATGAATATAGATTAATAAAAAATTATTATTGCATATAAATGATGAATCTTTCAATTGACATAGCTAATCAAAATTACAGACATATCATCCATATGTGTAAAAATATAAATCAAGTATGGTTAAAGTTCATTTATAAATTTTATAAAATAACAATATAGATTTTATTGGAATGTTATGTTTATTTTCATATGAAATTAGATGATTACTTGTTTTTTATATATGTTTTACTCTTTTTTATACATTATTATTATTGTCGCTTCTAAAATTTATAAATGAACAAATTGATAAGTCATTGCAGCACACATTCATATTGTAGAAATTTCTATCTATGAAATTATATATTATAATAAAAGGACATTGATGATCAATCACTTCTTTCTTCTTGCACGCACATGAATAATTTAGCACAAATCATATTGAAATTATCTGTAAAAAATAAATCATTTTTAATTATATAAATATTTTAAATTTTATATTTATAAATTAAATATATTCATAATTATTTACTATTCTTATTTACTATATATTTTAATTGTAATAACATTATATAAATTCAAATATTTTAATTGAATTTTAATTTTCATTGAAAAAATTTATTTATATTGATTTTTATATTTTATGATAAATAATTTTTTACTTATTTTTCACATTTATTTATTATAAAAATTATACATAATTAGACTAACAATTTTAATAAAAATAAATATAAGAATTTAAAATCATAATTAACGATAAGTACTTACGAGACGATTGTATAAGCCACTTAGGTTTCTTTTCCCAATAAATAAAGATCAAATACATTGGAATGCCAGATAAAATGATTATCACTCCTACACCAACTTCCCATGGTGAAACATAGCATGGAAATATTACTAAGAAAGCACAAATGATGAAAAATATAATTGGTAATAAAATTGACACCTAAAACAAAATCATAAACAAATTATATATATATATTTTCTTGTTTTTAAAAATGACAATTCTTTTTTTTTCAATTATTTAATTTCAAATATTAATTTATTAACATTAATTATTATATATATATAATTATTTATTATATTTTCAAAAATTATTTAGAATCGATAATTTACATATATTAAACAAAAAAAAATTATATTATCGTAATAATATTACATTTTTTGTTTTTTTATTTTTTCCTATGATTTTTTTTATCAAAAGTAAAAAAATATTATTTGGTAACTTATAAAAAATATAATAGATAAAATTTAATAAAAGTATATCACTATGTTATCAAAAAAACGTCAAAATTGTATTGATTTTATTATCAGATCAATAATTTTTCACAATCTAAAAAAAATCATCTAAAATATTTTTTTCCAAAATAGGAATAATATTGATTTGACATGTAATTTTATACATGTATCTTTATATACATCGTTTTTTATATATATTAGAGATATTAAAAAAAATAAAACTTCAAAAATATCACTATCAACATCACTATTCTTTTTCGAAGAAAATATTATATTTGTGTATTTAATATAACAATATTTTAATATAATATTCAATTTATATATATCATATCAATCTTTCTTAGACATCTAAAGTTTTATTTTATTATATGGATATCCTTTAATTATTATCGATACTTCACTATAACACAATTATACACGGATAAAAATTATTAAACAATTAATAAAAAAAAAGAAAATTTGTGAACTTTTTCATGTACCTTTATCGGTCGTATGCGATTGGGACTTTTGTAACGAAGCCAGAGGAGACCAGACACCGAGAGTGTGGTGAATAGTGCTTCAACGAAGCTAACATAATAGATTAGCACATAGACATCCTCTATGATTAGAAGTGCCAGGGTGATAATGCACTAGAAACGGAAATTATAGTTTAACGCTTCAGTTATAGTTGGAGTACAACAGTGAGAAAAAAATTAAACTTTTATATTTTATTATGCCTTAATTGCAATTATCCATTTCAATCTCTTATTTAAATTTTTATATTGTATTTTTTACAAAAAAAAAAAAATAATAAATATGTTTTAAAGAAAATAATAGAAAATAATATTATTAATAATATAATATATTACATAATAAATGATAATATTTTTTTCATAGTTATAAAAGATAATTGTTTATAAATGTTTAATTGGAACAAAAATTTTGAAAAAATTTTTTAAATTTGAATAATCGAATTATTCTTAATTTATAAGATTATATATGATCAAAGATATGATCATTATATATGATTAAAGAGACAATTAAACGGGATGAAAAACTTATTGCAATTAATATTCATAAATTAAAATGAGAACAATTTTATAAATCACTAAATAAATACAAAATATTTTTAAAATCTGGATAATTTAGATTAAAGATACTACCATAAATATTGTTTTAATCTGTCACTCGACAATATTGTCTTAATCTTTCTTTTATGATTATATTGAATAACAAATTATCTAACACTTCAAATATCAGAAAAAGAATCAAGTTGTAATATTACGTAAATATTACTCGAAATAAAAGTATTATTGCATGTTAAAACCATATATATATATATATATATATATATATATATATATATACATATGTCAAAAACAATTTTATCTTTTTATCTCACATATTTCTAATAGAGATTTTTCTTTTTTTAACATTTTTTTTTATCACTAACATAATTTAAACAAATCATGTATATATATTTGTTTTTTTATGATTCATTAATTTGATATATTTATTTAAAAAAAAAATATATAATTATATATAATGTGATTTATTAAATTAAAATATATTTATATGTAAAAGAAGCATATAAAAATAAAAGATACTTACAAGAAAGATAAGTGAAGGTGTGGGTGTTAAGTTTTGAACATTAATAAGGGCAATGGCGGCAGGCAAATGTCCATTACGAGCTCCTACGAAAAACAATCGTGATGATGCGAAAATTGCTCCGTTCAACGCCCCGAAGGTTGAACAAGCCACGAATACTGGCATTATCCAAGACATCACGCCTAACAGCTTATCGCTGAAAGTCTACAAAAGATATATAGATTAATAAATTAGATTATAGATTAATAAATTTAGAAATTGTTTCTAATACTTTTAAAATAAGATTATGAAATATTTGAAATCTTGAAATTTTTAAATTCAAAAAATTTCGAATTCGTGAATAATTAACATTAGTGATATGATTCGTGAAATGAGATATGGAAAATGTAAACAGAATAATAAAAAATTATATTTTGTTTTGTGCATTGATATAAATATTTTAGAAATAAATTAATGTAAGTTTTTGATTACTTTTCATAGTTCAATTGTGGTCTAGTAAATCTGTTCTATTACACTTTTTTACTTTTTTGTAAAATTAAATTGATATTTTAATGAAATTTATTTTTACATTTCTTGGTCTTCATTATATTAAACATTTTATGGCAAGTATATTTTAACTTTTACTTATCTAAAATTTGATAAGTAACCAGCTTATCGTTGTACAATCATAAATTAGATAAATTTACATTTGTTTAAGTGGTTTTTCCTCTGAAATCGATATTAATTACATTTATACGAATATAATTAATAATTAAGATGAATAAAAAATAATAAGAGTAATAATAATAAACAATATATGTACAGATAAATAGTGAGGAATATTCGAAAAAAATTTTATATTTTCGAAAAACTATGAAAAACTTACGACAGCAACAGCATTCGATGCCAGAATTTCATCTTGTGTTAATACCACAAAATAAGCAATATTCGCCAGAACATAAATTATAGTTACTAATGGTAATGATATACAAATTGCTTTTGGAAGATTTCTGTAAGAATAACAATTAATCAAGATAATATGAATGTAATATAAATTTTTTATAAAAATAAAGCAAACATTTTATATTTGAAAAATATAAATATTGACAAAAAAATGTATACAACAAGAATCATAAAAATTCTTTAACATAATAATATTTTAAATATAAACATACGCAAATGCGTTATTTACTCCATTTTAAATATAGCTCTCCGAATTCTTGAAAAAAATTCTTTGTTTGCAATAATATTATTAAATATTTAAAAATTCAATCTATTTTCTTTTTTTGTTTATTTTGTTAAGCAAAAAAGCGTGTTATGAATTTATTGTCATAATCTATTATAAATATAATTCTTACAATGTTATATTTATGTTTATTCTATATATATATATATATATATATATATACATACACAATCTTTATTCTATTTGCTTTTAAATATATAATATGTATATAAAAACATGATAATATTTATGTAGAAATTTTGAAAAATCCTTATTTGATTTCTTGATGTATACTCACGATGAAGTCCTAGAATATTTTCTATTTCTATTAAAATTTTAATATTTGCTACAAATTATGAGTTTGAATTTAATCTTTTAAAAAAATTCTTAATCTGGTAGCATTTATATATTTTCTTCTATTATATAAATTAATATCTATATAATATAATATAAAATTAATATCTATATAATTCTGTATTATATAAATTAATTATATAAAATTAATAATATAAATATAATTATATTTTATATAATATTATATAAAAAAATAATAATTAATGTTTATATATTAAAGATTACGATCAATATCTAATATAATTCGATTAAAATTTTGAATTCTCCTCATATTTTATCGAATAAAAAGATCATGTGAAAAAAAAAGAAATCAAAATAAATATTGTTTGTCTTGTGATGTATCATGAAAAATCTCTTCTCAAAATTTACATTTATAAATACTCAACTTATTCTTTTTTCAATTTTCGAACAAATATAATATCTAAATTATTATTAAAATAAATTATATTTGTTTTAAACTAAATTATTGATTTGCTGTTGCTAAAAGTATTCACTAACCAATGTATCTAAAGATAAAACGAATTAGTTTTTGATTTAAAATATACTTTAAATTATTACTATATTATAAAAAATTATCTATATTACTAATGCATAATATACAATAATATGTATATGTATAATTAATTAATTATAACATATAATACAATTAAAATCTAAATTTTAATAAAAATAAATTACTTGTAAGGATCTTTTAATTCCTCAGTAACAAAATTCAGATAATTCCATCCAGAATAAGAGAATAGGCCCGAGTAAACGGCTAAAGCAATGTAGCCAGGTTGTGTATTCGTTCCATCCATGGGATGTCGAAAATTTTCTGTGTGACCCATGCAAAGCCACCAAAATCCAGTGACCATGATGATCAGTAAGGCAAAAATTTTGGTCCCAGTGAATATATCTTGCACCCTAGTTGCCCATTTCACATTATAACAATTGATGGCAGTTAATAAACCTGTGAATAATAATTACATTTTGAGTTTGGAAGTTGGGACAATTATTGCAATTTTATTTTTTATAGAACATTAATTTTACATGTTAAATTATTATATATCTTGAATATTATAAAAAATTCTGTTATAAATAAATTCAAAGATGTAATTGATAATAATGATTGTTATTGTTATGAAGGTTGTTGTATATCACTCTATAGATAACTAAAAAATTTTTTCTCTATTAAAAAAAAATTTTCAAAGATAGATTCTAATCGATAATTATATTTAAAAATTGTTCACTATAACATCGAAAATGTTCATCTTTCAGAAAAATTCGTTTCATGATTGAAAAAAAAAATTATTATATATGAAAATGGTATAGACATATATCAAGCAAAAATAAAATATGGTCTTACACGTAATAACAGCAGCAAGTAATCGTACTGCTGCATAAGGAGGAATACAACCGTGCCAAACTGGTTGTAAGATGTATTGTGCAAATGTTAAAGCTGTAATAGCGTTTCCTGTTGGTACAAGAATGAACAATGCTACCCAGAGGTACAGAAACGCCGGTAACGGTCCAAAAGCGTCGCTAATGTATGCATAATCACCACCAGATTTTGGGATCATAGTACCTGAAAATTGATTTCTTTTTTAAACGAATAAAAATTAAACATTTATTTCTATTTTTATACAAGTTAGTTTTTAAAGTTAAGTTACAGTTTTAAGTTTCTGAAAAAACATCATTGTTTGGCGTATTAGTCATTCGAATATTTTCTTAACATTGTTTTATCTATTATTTAAAATTATGAATTTAAATTTTATTTGAATAACAAGCTTGTGTTAGGTTAATTTAATGTTAATTTCGATTTATATATATATATATATATATATAAAATATAGAAATTTATTATAAATTATATAAAAATTAATTAATTATTAAATTATATAGAAATTTAAGATTGATAAACTTTTACCATAGAATTAATACAAAAGATATATAATATAGATATATAAAAATATAAAGATATATAATATAAACTAGATATCATTAACAATGATAATAATGAATTAATAATGAAAAAAAAGAAAAAATATTTTTTTTTGAAGAAGACAGATTATTGATAATATTTACGAGAAATAATGAAGGTATTATATATCAAATAAAATTGTAACATCAATTATAGTAAAAATAAAAGTAATGAAAATATATAAATAGTTTTTATAATAGATAAATATAAAAAAAGATGTAAATATAAATATAAAATGAATGAAGAATCAAAAGAATAAATATATAATTAAATTATATCTAAAGAAATTGAATTATTTAATTTTGGCAGATCTTCTTAATTCTTTTATCTCAATACATTTTTTATAAAACAAAATTTATTCTTGTTAATAATGATCCATATGGATTTAATTGTATTAATAGAATAAAGTTTGGTTTGAAAACTTTTCATAACATTGCTCATCCGTTTAAATCTCGTTATAAGCCAATTTATGAATAATCATGATAAATTTAATCTATAGTGAAAGTATGTCAACTAAATTCATCTAATTAAATTGTTTGATATTTGAAACTCATTCACTTTTCAATGAGATGAAATGTATTAAATGCCATTGAAAGCTCACAATTAGGATTTACTTTAAATATTGTCAATTTGTAATTTTAATAATATAAAATATAATAGATATAGATAATAAAAGTATAATATATTATAAATATTTTTAAAGTATTAATTATTAAAATAAATGTGATTAATTGCAAAAAAAAAAAATAAATAAATAAAAATTCGAAAATTCTTAATTCTTAATTCTCAATAAGTAATTGTCTCTAGAAATTTTACACACGACATTCAACGAAATCAGTTCCATTACGTTACAATTAATCGCATCAATAACTTAATAAAGTATCATTGACCTTTTTTACAGAGTTCAGGGATCAAGTGAAATTGGTCGCGTGCCATGACACATTTTAATCATGTTATTTTCAACAACTGACTCATGCATTTCTGCATATCAATAAGAACAAGAACCAATAATATTTGTTTAAACGTTCGATTTAATATTTTTAATGACAAGGATTACTAAATATCATGTATGTATATATTATCAGCAATTAGAATTCGTAATAATTATTCTTTTTTTTTCTGAATTTTTCTTCAGTTTTCTGAAATGAATCTTTATTATTTTCAAAATAAATAAGATGATTCATCGCAAAAATTTGATCAAATCAAGATTTCCAGATATAATATGACAAAGTATAAAATATAAAATCGATCCTAAAGATTATTTCATCTGCTGAATTTTAGCGTAATAATATCAAAAAAATTATAACGAAAAATTATCTAATTATATAAATTATACGATTTACAATTAAGCTATATCTTATAAAGAGAAACTAAACATATTTTTACGAAAGTAGTTTTAGTTAGGCAAAAACGAGTCATAACCGAAATATTTATTAGACCGTTTCATATTTTCGAAGGATTTAAGAAAATTATTTGCAATACTTTTTGTCATTGAAAATAAATAAATAAAAAAAAAATATTAGTAAAAATTAGTAATATCTTTTAGAAAACTAAATTAAAAATAATGCAGTTATTGAGCCAAGAGTATTATAAAAAAATCGAACAATTTAATAACATTTAAAAAATTATTTCTGTTATACAATTTACCGTAATTTCAATTATGGTATTTCACTATACGTTGTGATAATATTTGAGCGTGAAAATATTTAAATATTTTCAATATCATATTTTATAGTATCTATAAAATATATATATGAATGTACTATCTATGAATATCCAAGACTGCCATGCCAGATAATTTTCAAATAAGTCGGACAAGACACGTAAGTATATATTTGCTATAGTCACATAGTTATTTGAAGATAGTCTGGCATGCTGAACGTGCCTTATATTTTTCTCTTATTTTTGTGAGAAACACGAAAAGATCGTGATGATAGTGAACTTTACAAGTGATAAAACTGGATCAACATTGATTTTCATAAATAATGAATTATTCTTCACTTTGACTCATTGCAAACTGAAATTATAGGCTTTCTTCTATTAACATTCACGTCTATATTTTTTTTTTATATACCTATTTAATAATTTTAATATTTATTATTATATACACTTTCATTTGTCACTTATATTTTATTTATAATAAAATATTATAATAAAATATATACATAAATTATATATATATATATAAATAATAAATTTTTGAAAAAAGATTATTAAAAAATAATGAAAAAGTTTCGATTTATTTTTATTCCTTTAATACTAATAATATTTTTTAATGATGGAAGTTTTCTCATAATTGAATTAAATTTTACAATATTTTGATTAATACACTATAAGCACTGTAGAACGATGAACCAAAAGCATAATTAGAACGACCGTAATTGATAAAACGCTTAGAAACTGATAATAATAACTGCACGTGTTTTGCAGTTCCATGATCATAATAAAACAATTCTCTCAAAGCTTTAGAAACAAAGGTCAATAGATTATTTTTTTGGAACGAAAACATATTTTCCAGAAATGATAAAAATTTTTTTATTCCGTTAGAGAATAAACAATAAATATTTTCTCAATTTCGTAATGTATAAATGTATACAATTTTTACTTTATTCTTTAATTTTTTCTTGAAATTTATGTGCAACCAATGATTCATTTAATTATTTTATAAAATATTAAAAATAATAATAATAAATTTTAAAATATAATAAATATAAAAAAGATATCTAAAATTAATACGCTTATGTATAATTAAAGATAATCAAACAAATCATTTTTATATAAAGCTAACTATTTGTATATTATTATTTAAATATTTTTAATTCTTTTCATAATTGCTTGAAAAATCATCTTGCTAGATATGATTTCATTTAAAATCTATAGGAATTAAGAAATTTATCGTACATATTTTAAATTCGATATCTAACATTTAATCCATTTGTTCGGATTATAGTTTTCGTTAAACGGTTTCTCTCATTATATAGCAATCTTTATAAATTCCTTACATAACATAATAATATATTATATTAAATATTATATTATATATTATATTAAATATTATATTTCATTTTGTGATAATAGCTAATTGTATTATATTTTAAAATATTATTCTGAATTAGAATTGTCTATTTATCTTAAAAGATAATTTCATGCTTAATTTTTATCATTTTCTAGATACATTATGTTAATGAAATTAGAAACATTCGATATATAATTTCAATCAATAATATCGAATTAAAAAATACGAATTTTCGACTTCAAAAATATAAATTTTTTCCTCTATTTCCTCTATATATTTAAATTTATTTCTACAAAATTGAAAATGATATAAAATCGTGATTTGACAAAATATTGTTATTTAATAAAAGTAATTGAATTTGATATCTTTATAAAGATTTATTATTATTAAATGTAAAAGATTTAATATGATAAGATGTAAATGTAAATGTAAATTAAAATTAAATCAATAATATAAAATTCTCTATAATTTTTGTTAAAATCATCAATTCTGTAAATGTATTACATATAATGTAATACATATAACGTCGTAAAACGTCAATAAGATATTCAATACATAAAAAGATAAAAAACGTTGATGTTTTTTTAATAAATGAAAAACTTAAAAGTTTATCTATGTACATTAATTTCAAACAAAATGCAATGCAATACTTGAAATATATAGGAACTCGATATTTAGCATAATAATTTTGAATTATTGAATTATTATTTTTATTATTTAAACTATTTTATGTGAATATATTATATATAAATATGTTTAAATTATTACAAGAATAAATAATCTTAAATGCAATGGATAATCGAGATTAATAATAAAATATGAATATACACAAATAAATATAATATTTGTATTTATATTAATAATATTGTATTTATATTAATTTAAATTTAATTATTTAATTTATAGATTTATTTTATAAAAATTGTATTTCATTATAAATTAAAATTTAATCTAATTGATTTTAAAGATAATTTAATCATTTTTTGTTTAACTTACAATTAGAGCAAATTATAAATGCCTAAAGTAATACCTACTACTTTCTAAGTCAATTGGCTTGAGCAAAAGGTGATGCAAGAGTCGAAAGATCTGTCTATAGACACATAAAATTGCGAACACATAAATAAAAATATGAAGATAATGATAAACTATACATTTTCCAGATAGTATTCATTATTTGTTTTTTAAAAAAAGCTAAAATAAAATAAAATAAATATTTATATAAAATGAAAGAACACTTTAGAACAAAACAAATATTAGAATGATAAATATCGATAAGTCAATTTTTTATAGTAGATATAGATATTTGCGTAATCTAATTTGCAATTTACATGATATAAATAATACTATAAATAACACAGTTTATTTTGATATAAATTTCATATACTTTGTTTTTATAATTTACGTTCTATTTTTTCAAAGTAATTTTCTTTTATATTTCTCAATGAATAAATTTGTTTCTTTTATACAAATTATATTTTCATTAAAGAAAAAACAATTTATATATAATTTATTTTTTTTGTATATCATTGATCAATCGTGATTTTATATTTAAGACAATTCTGTATATATAAATAATGCATATATAATCAACTGCGTAGATATTTTAAATTAAAATTAATGATATTTGTAATTAGAATCTAATCGATTTTTATACTTACCTAGTTCGGCATAGCATAATGCACCGATCAGAGACAAAACACCAGAAAAAATCCAAACGATTAAAGCTTGGCCAACACTACCGCTATTTTCTAATACACCCTTTGGCGAAACAAAAATTCCGGCGCCGACGATGATGCCGACGATAATTGCCACACCGTCTAATAAACCGAGTTCTTTTTTAAGTTTCACTGCTTTGTTATCACTGTTGATGGTTTTCGCGGTCTTTAAGACCTGTTTCTCGGCCGGTGCAACTTTGTCCGGCATCGTGTTTTCTTCCTTATTCCCGAAATTACTGTTCGTCAGACACTTTCTTGTTAACAGCCGAAAAAGTACTGAACAGTACGAGCATACCGAGAACGATACACGCCTGACGCACGTGTGAAAACGGCAAAGAGGGAAGAAACACACGCACACAGATAATCACCGGCTCTGACCGCGTGGCGTTCACTCAACGGATACACGTGCGCGACTGCAGTTTTGTCTGCAATAGCGAGAGTGGCGCCGTCTGTCGACGATCGTCATTTCTACAATTGATACACGCAACTTACCCGTTACATTTTTACGTATCGTCCCGTTTGATTGAATTTACAATCAGCTGACTTGTTTCTATCGAAGCGCGGGAACTTGCATGACGTATGCATGATAATTTGTTATTCTCTTCCTCTCTCTCTCTCTCTCTCTCTCTTTTTCTCTCTAAGAGACTCTAGTTTTTATTTCATTTTTATTTCATTTTTATTTCATTTAAGTTTTAACATTTTATTATAATTTAATATTAATTTCAATCTTATTTTTAAATTATAATAATTTCTTTACAATTGAATGTTGTATTACATATAATAAACATTAATTATAATTTAATATTAATTATATAATTGAAACATTATATCAATATTAAATTGATGTATGTATATTTATATTATCGGTATTTTCGTTATAAAATTGTTGTAAATGTTACATTTATATATTACAATTCTACAAAACAATAAAATAAGAGATATCACTGATAATATATACAATTATATATATATATATATATAGTACATGTTATCATAGTTTTTCATATTTATATAATTAAGCGTTTACGCGAATGAATTTTCACAAATATGAAAATTTACAGTGCATTGTGTGAAATGTAGCAATTATACAATCACTATGAACACATTTAAAAATCCAGATTCAATCACGAATGATATTTTCATTAAGTTCTTTTGTTTTGGCAAGATTTGTTTTAATTTCGCGTATCAGGATCACAGGAAAGTATTGAAAAGAAATACGAATTCCGTTTACAACCGCACAGCGTGTTAATACCATCCATATCATATGCCATATTTAAAGTATCAAGTCGAAACCCTCGAAACGAGACATTGCATTAGCGTCGGCTCTGCTTAAAAAATAAAATATAAATATACGAATTATTATAATATAATTCGAATATATATAAACATTGATATGAATATTGATTATCTTTAAAGTATGATTATCAGGAAAAATAATTAAGTACTATTTTTATAATATTATATCAGAAATTCATAATTATATATTCTTTTTCTTTTTTTCAGAATTTGTAAATTATTTATTTATATCGAATTAATTTGAATAAAAATTAGAAATGTTTAATACTTATATTTATATGATATGTAAAATAAGAATGACATTTTATCGTAAATAAATTTTGTCTACACCAGTGTTCATATCCGTTGCGACAATATCATGCACTTCCTTTCATTTTTCTTTGTATAATAATTTTAATGATATATGGAATTCATATTTATAATATATATCTGAAATTAATTTCTTATTTTTGATATAAAAATTAAAGAATAATTTTTTTTTTATTTAAAAACTCAGTTTTTTATGAAATTTATATTATTTTATAAAAAAAAATATATATCCTGTTTTTATAATTATTTATATATAAAAAAATATTATTAATTATTGACATTTATATTAATTCAGATTATCTATGCAAATTAAAATTATCTTTTATATTAATGTAATATATGATTTTATATTAATTGAATTAAATTACATACAACACAAACATAATATCAGACATAAATAAAACAACATAATAAACTTACACGACTAGATCTAAATTCGTGAATTATAAGTGATAAATCATTAATAATCATAAATATTTTATGATTAAAAAAGAAATTTAAGTAATTGAAATTATTGAATTATTATATAATATAAATAATAATTGATTTCAGCTATTTTTATTCCTTCAAATTTAATTCGTGAAAAAGAAACAAAGAATTTTTCAAAACAATCTTATATTTTTACAGATAAAATAAATCTAATATTAACGCACTTTTTGTTCCATATCATGAAAACAATAGAATCTTTTTACTATTTTTCAACATTATTAATTTAACTTAGAATATAATATTGTTTTTTTTTTGAATTAAAAATTAAGACATGTTTTGAAAGAAAAATAATGAAAATAATGATCAATTGATATTCTGTTTGTAATCACGCGCCAAAAGTATTAATAAGGAAAATGATTAATAAGAAAACAGAAATAAGATAAAAATTAAAGAATCAGCGCCATCTCTTTACCGTGAGTGAAACTAATATAAACAAGAACAAATATTAGAAAAAGAATAGAAATAAAATAAGAAATAAGATGACGTTAATGTCATTTCTCAAATGTCGAAAACAATTCTTCAAAGAATTATTTTTTTGGAAATGAATTATTTTTTTTTGGAAGATAGTGCTTTTAATTCTTGCTCTATTTTATCCTGCCTTTAAAAAGATATCTTTGAAATCCAAGAGATAGTACTGACAGTCGTCAACTGCTTATTAACTTTTTCTTTTATTTAATCTCTTTGTATATGTATTTCATCTGTAGCATTCTAGATGACGCTGATTTCACAATTTTTAATCTATCTCTGTCTTTCTGTTCATATTTGTTTTTCTTGTCTATGCTTCTATAAAATATTTTGAGATAATTTAAGAGACAATTTTAATATTTAATTAACAATTGAAAACCAGTGAAAGAGAAATAAAAATAAGAAACGCTTTAAAACTCTATGATTTTGATAATAAAATGTTTTAATTTTTTTTTAATTTTTATGAAATTCAATATTTGATTGTTTGTTTTATATGAATAGTAACATATTTGCATATTAACAAGATGTCCAAATAAATTTAACTCAATAACATCATATTTAAATTTCTGTTTATTAAAACAATTTCAAGTTGATATTATTTTCATTGTATTATAATAATTGTTTTGAATAATAATTCTTATTTGGAAAATTGTGCAGTCTATATACTTATGAACAACTACTCAATTGATAACGAATAAATATCAACATTTAAACGAAACAAACAACATTTAAACGAATCTATCAATTCGTATAAATAATATTTTCTAAATTATTATATATTTGATATTTTAAAAAATGAATAACATTGAAATTGAAGACTTTTATCATCATGATTTTACAACGGCTTCAGAATGGGAAGTGTTTATTGCAAGATTGGAAGAAATTATGCACGAATGGAAATTACCAAATACAAAAATCGGTCCATGTTTAAAATCTGGAGATTTTATTAACTACCAATGGAACGAAAATTCGGAAAAACTTCATTTTGCTGGTTTGTTAATATAAAATATTAATATTTTATTTTGATTAGAATTCAAATAAAATGTATTTCATATAGATTTTTTCTTTTTATTTAAATGGTGACATATAATGAAAACAGATTTTATTTTTATTACAGATGCAGAATTTACATTGAAACATTTCAAATTAAAATTAGAAGATAAAAATACAGATAATCCTTTAGAAGAAAGTGATGAAGAAAAAATACAGTGTCACAAGGATGCATTAAATGCATCAAATGATTTTACTAGAATTGATGGAAATCATTTAGAAATAGCTCGCTATTATGGCATTAGAGAATTTCTTGTTTTACAATCCTCTAAAAAAGATTCTGTGATGGATGAAACTAAAATTAGAATTTTACTTAGTTCTCTTGCAATTGCAGCAACTAATGCCAATTGGTAATTAAAAAAATTATTTGTTTGAAATTATATATTATCATATGATAATAAGAATTATAAATAGATTAATTATTGTAATAATAATATAATATTTATTATTTTAGTGATATACCTGCATTAGTACAAGTACAAGAACCATGGCAAAAAATGTATCTTGGAACAAGTATTGGAAAAGGAATTTGTACTCACTTTGATATGGTACATTTAAAAAAAGTACCTTTGCACTGCAAGTACCTAACTGGTACGAATACAGTTTTTAACACAAAAGTATAGAAGTAATTATATTAGTTTATGCAATTTGTATTTTGTAATTTGAATCATATTATTTTTTCAGTAGTATGATAATTTCTTAATAAATATTATTTTTAGGTTTACTTGCTTTATTCAAACAGAAAGTTGGAGAAGGTTGTGGAGCAAGACTTGATCCTGTAATGATATCTGTAAGGTTTTCATATTTGTTGAAAGATTGGACTAATAGCACATGGACTCAAGAACCTCCAGATTTTGATTTCATGCAAGGAGAAACATTAGGTGTAGCTGAACTTGGAAAACTTCCATTTGGAGCAACATATGATCCAATTGCGTAAGATTTTTATATTATTTTTATATAAAGCAAAGTAATTAAAATACATAAATTTTTGAAGAATTGATTTAATTAAATTATTATAGGGAGCTTCACTTATTTGCCACATGGCCTGAAATGTCAGAAAATGTAGTTGTCGATAGTGAAGGTTTTACAGATTTAGAACCACAGTTTGCCCTTGAATGGTCTGTGCAAGTAAAAATGGTTTCTTCGCCAGTCTGTTTACTTGGAGAATATTTAACGGATTTTTTACATCTTTGTAATAATCAAAAAACTATAGTAGATTTATTGGGTGATGCTGTTATTTATGCTCAACAAGAAGATCAAGCATTCAGTTCAGTTTTTAACATATTAACAGAATCTAGAATACCAACAATTTCAACAGTTGTTAGTAAAGCAACTACAAAGAAGAATAAAGATATAGAAGGACCAATACCAGAAGAAATATTATTGTCAATACTTTATTTTCTCTTTCCAGATGCAGAAGAAAATTCTGTAAGTAATAATTTTTTTGATGTCATAGTTTCAGGACAAATAATCATATTTTTCAATTAAATTTTTATAGAATTTTCTGTCAATTTATTAAGAGACATAAACAAAATACGATATTTTACTTTTATCATTTTCTAAAAACTATTATATTTTGATTGAAAAATAAATATAATTGCAGAGATAATTAAATTCATTAATGTTATAGAAAACTCCCTATGGTGACTTGACTATATTTAATGTGGATGAAGACCAAGGGAAAGGTGTAAAAACGTGTGCAATGGACAGTTTAGTATGGCGTCTTGCAGTTGTTGCAGCACATTGTACGCATAATCTTGGAGGAGCAGCAGCATTAGCACAATTATGGTATGAATTCGTCCAAGAAATTAGATTTCGATGGGAAAGGAATATTCTTATATCTGGGTAAGTATTTGCACGTTTTATTAATTAATTGCATGGTAGAAAATAAAATATGTGAATCCTTATTTTAAAATATTATTATCTATTATTAATTTTAAAAGATGTGATATAATCAAGAAATGAGAAATTATTAATCATTTTTTTATTATTAATTTTTTCTTAATTTATTAATAATTAAAATTTACTAATTCTAATTTATTAATACTAAAGGAGTACATATTTTTGTATGTATATTTATTTTTTTTAATGTTGAAAATATATAAAATATATTTTTAATATATAAAATTATCGTTATTTAGAAATATATATAAAATAGTGTTATATTTTTAATGAAAAAATCTCTCATTGCTAGAACATATCACATGTCATAAAATATTTTAAGATCAGTACAGTTTCTTGTAAACATGCATCAACCAAACATAAAATATTAAACACAATACAGATCTTGATAGATACTGTTTCATGATACAGTCTTTGGATAAAAAGTCATCCATCATTCATACATATTAAATTTGATTTATTTATTCCTATTATTTTTTTGAGAGATCGTGTGCTGAAACTATTCGAGTTTTTTTGTTCAAGCACACATAGTATATTTCTAAATGTGTATCTTTAAACACTTTTTTAATATCGATTATCTTAAAGCTATATTTTAATGTTCTTCTTCATACTATGTCAATACATGTATTACACAGTAATACTTGTAACGACGTAAATCTTAGATTTTTATTTTAACAAATACTTTTGGTTAACGGTTGAACTCTATTCCGTTATTCCGTTCTCCGAATCTTTTAAAATGTTACGTTATATAATACAATTATATGAATACGAGCAGTTCAGATGTTCTGAAAAAAAATTGAACACGTTCACTGAACACGTTTGAGCAAAATCATACACACACAGAGTATTGAATCAAAGAGGCATGAGACCAGTCCTTGTGGTTGGATTGCGTGCCATATATATATCCATATCATGATCAGTCCAATTATTCTCTTCGTAATTATTAAGAGTATGTGTCGAATCGGCTATGCTATATCTGCTACCCGGTCTTGGTGGATTTTGCTCTAAAGTACGATTACACGATCTTGGTCTTTGTCTTCTGGATGAAGAATGTGGTGGCATATGATTGGGTGAGAAATTTGTTCGTGACATTCTATCAGAAGCTGCTGCTAAAGATTGTCGAGATTGTCTCAATTCTGCAAAAAATAAGATGTGACAAATAAGATGAAACAATGATAAAAAGATCTTTTTTCATTTATCAGATAACTTGAACAAGAAATCTTACCTGATCTTGTATTAGCAAGATTGGAAGATAGAGTGTTATTTCCGAAATATCTTGTTGATGTATTGGAAAAACTGTGCTGAGATTGACCGTCAACTATGGAACGAGTCGATACTTTTCCACTATAATGTCCTGTTTGAGATCTAACATCATCGATACAGGAAGCTCTAGTTATCGAACCTAAAAATAGAAATTTTTAAAATATATATAAATTGTTGCAATAATTTAAATAATATTTTTCTTCTTTTTGCATTCCTTAAACAAATTTTTCATATTATTCATATTCTTCGTCGATACCTTGTCGGTCTATAGGAAATATTCTTGGTCTTGGTATACTTCTATTACTATACGCAGATACTTGATCCCATTCTTTCTGAGCATTATAAGCACTGAGAGTTGCCATTGATGATAACGGCCCACCAGGGCTTGGAGTCGGACCAACATTAGAACAACAATTTACTGGTAATCCAGCAATAGGTCCACCCATTTTTGTCTGATCAATACTATGAAGGGTGTGAAGTTTTCTGGCTCTTCGTCGATTCGCAACAATAAATATTATCACGGCAACCACTATAGTGGCACATATAGCTGCACTTGCAGCAATGGTAATTTTATCCATATTAGATGTAGGCGAATTTTCTGTTCTTACTTCTTTACATTGATTGTAAGGTACATTTGCAGGAGTGATGTTTGTTTCTTCTAACGATATTACGCAAACTACAATACATTCCTAAAAAAATAAAATTTAAATATTTAAATCTATATTTTAACATATGTTTAATTAAAATTATAAATAAAATATTTTACTTGTGAAGGAACGTTCTTAATTTTGAATTCTCGTTCACTAGCCTCTAAAGGAGGTGCTTGTTTAAAACTGTTGTCCCCAAACAATCTGTAAATTACTTTAAAACCTAAAATATTAGTTGCTTCTGTATCCCAATATATAATCACCGCATTATCTTGTCTGAGCACGTCTTTAACTATAATATCTTTGTCGTTTAACTTAGATTTGTAAAGTGGTGAACCAAGTACCAATGGTGGCCTTGGTTGATGTTGCTGTAACTGATCTTGGACTTGTTTTGGTGGAGATAATGTGGTTCTCATTATCACTACATTTCCTGTTCGTGCAACAGTTGGTCTGTTAGTGATCGTTTTCGGAGTAGTTGAAGATGGTGTTGTTTCGATTTTTTGAGATTCTGTTGTGGAAGATAGAAGTGTCGTGGTTGATGTGGTTGTTGTTGTTACATTATAAAATACATTGATCGAGGGTCGAGTAATTGGATTATAACTACTAGCTATTCCAGCGGATCCAGTAGGTTCTTTTGTGTCCACACTTTCTACTGTGCCAATTCCTACAATTTCTGGCGCATTTTCGCAGATCATTTCTAAAAAAATTTTTTTGTAATATATATAAAAAATTTCTAATAATTCTGATTTAGATAAAACATAATTAAAAAAGAAATAGAAAAATTAATTTCGAAAAAAATAAAAAATTCTAAATATTTTATTATTAATAATTATAAATATTACCTCCTGGACTGATGTTATAAAAACTTTTATCCTGCAATTTTTGCGGACTTCCACAGAATTGCGGTTTACGTTCCCGACTAGTAACTTGCAAATCTCTCGTTTCTATCCATTCGACGATCCATCGTAATTTGCAATCACAAATAAGGAATCGACCTCCCAAACTCAAACCTCGAAGTGTTCCATTCAATCGAGCTAGAGCCTCTTCCGGAACAGTTGACAAAGGATTTCCATCGATTGCCAATAGAGTTATGGATGGATTTTTTTGAAAAGCATTTACTGGCAGTTCAGTTATTAAATTGAATCCAATATCGAGCACCTAAATTAAAATAAAAATTAAAATTAATACATTATAATTATCATATAAATAATGTAGTAAAGTAAATAGAATTATTAAATAACAATAAATATAATTGAAATTAATTAATTGTAAATTGTAAATTTTTATTGCGCAAACTTCTTTTTTTGAAGCTCACCCTAAGATCTTGAACACTGTTAATAGCAACCATAGGAAAGTCTGGAACGAGATTGTTCAACAAACTCAACGAACTCAATGTATTCTTAATTCCATAAAAGGCATCCGGCCCGATATTCTGAATCAAGTTCCTTTCAAGATTTAATCCAGTCAACGAGTCGAGTCCTTCGAAAGCTTTCATGCCCGCAGATCCAGGCAATTCTCTGATACTGTTCTGCGATAAATCGAGAAAAGCCAATGTCTTCAGGCCTTTTAGCGCTTCAGGAACTTTTTTTTGTCTAGTACCTTTCAAGTTCAAGTTCTTCAACGTTCTCTCTAATCCTCGAAATGCTCCAGGTGATAAAGTTACTTCGTTATCGGAAAGTTTCAGCGTAATTAATTTCAATCCTGTGAAAGTGTTATCATTCACCTTTGTGATTTTATTCATCGAGAGATCCAATATAGTAAGATTCCTCAAAGTTTTCAAAGTGGCACTAGGAATCTCCGTCAATTCGTTATCCTTTAAATTGAGACTCTTCAAGGAATTTTCTTGTCCCTTGAAAGCTTCTGGCTCGATCGTTTTAATTTGACAACCGGACAATTGCATGTTGTTGATTTTTACAAATCCAAATGAATCGTTCTTTAATACCCCTATGGTGCTGTTGTTTATGTAAAACAAATCTATGGTAGTTTTCGAAACGTAACGCCGTATAGCAGACAGTAGTTGTTCGTAGTTGACGATGTCACATTGTACAGATAATTCTCTGGCCAGATTGTAATCACAGATGCAGGAGCTTTCGAGATCAGCTATGTGTTGCGCCCATGGACAACTGGAGGTTGCTGCCACAGTAATAATTATGCTTGCAAATAGCAGCAACAGCACCGTTGGATGTATATCTGAAAATGTTTGAATTATTTATCTCTTTTAAAAAAAGACCTTTCAAAAAAATATAAATAGATTTCTTTTTAAAGAAATATATATATTTTTTATCGTTTGTATCTAAATTAAATAATTTATTGTAAAAGTAGCACATTTAGAAAACCGACCTACAATTCAACGTATCAATCAATGAAATGCATATTTTCCAAATGTTATAATTTCTATAATTTCTAGAAATTGTTTTTAAAAATTCTATTGTTCATTTCTCTTCTTGAGAGGGTTGAATTCGTTAGAGAAAGTCAACCTGTTTCTTATAAACGAATACATGCACGGAACATGAATGCTTTCGAAATACCGTGCAATTACGCATATAATGTATTCTACAATTACATCGCCACTTATTATTCACTGGGCAACCTTGGAATGGATTATTACATCAATTCGAAATACCATTTTTCAATCGACATATTTTCGATATTTACTATGAAGATGATGTTTGTAATTCGTGGCTAATTATTTCTATACAAATATTCGCTAACTTTATGAGAATATTTTATACCAACCAATTTTTGAGAATATTTTGTTTATGAATGATTTTCTTGCAAAAAAGAAAATTAGGTTAGGTTAGATTAGAATTTGTTTATAAATCTTTGCTTATTGCTAAATATTTCTAAATATTTGCGGTTATGGTTATTATGAACTTGTAAACGATTTCTCGTGTGGACGTGAAAAGGAAAAATGTATTATATGTCGAATGTAGGACTGGGATACAACGGTCATCGAGAACCGTGACGTATGAACAAACCAAAGTTGTGCAGCCTAAACGAACCGCGCAAGCAAAGGTCTATAGACTGAACCCGTTACGAGTCAATGGCCGCAGTAAACGCATGTCCTTGCCATCAAACTCTATCGATGGCACTCGATCAACGGTGTACGAATTATCAACACAATATCAATCGTTGTTTTTTTATATTTCTCTTTCTAATCTATTGTGTTTAACACACACATTAATCATTTTATATTATTTAAAAATATATCTTCTAGAATTATATTTAATCTTTTGAATTGCTTCTAAGATTATATATATAATTTTTATTTATTTTGAAAATTGTGAATATTTTTTTTTTGACGAGTTATTATTTTTATTACTATAATTTTATATCATATAATTTTATATGAAATTATTTTATAATTATTATACCAGTTTTATTAGTATCTACTACAATTTAAAAAGTAAGTCAATTATAGATTGAAAGGAAAATAAAGTTCAGGTAAAATTGAGATTTCCCTTGTGTAATAATTCCCTTTCTATTATCCGTTCTACACTTTCCAATATTTCTAGAAAAAATGTCTGAATAATTCTATTAATCACAACCTTGATCGTTATAAAAAAAATACTAGGTAACTATATTATTTCTTTAATTATGTTATAAAACTTTTCACAAATTGATTATTAACTCTTTGTGAATAATTATTTACAAAATTGTCTAATTTAATTTTTTTTTTTTTTTTTTTGACATTTTTATGAAGATATCATTTCATTTGGTATTTTTCACATTATTTATAAATGTATATATATAAAAGTTTAAAAATTTTTAAGTAAGATTAACATACTTTTTAAACATTTTATATTTTCCTAACTTAATAAATCTATAGTTTGCAACAAAAATAAATGAAACTCAAAGTAAACGTCCTAAATTTTATGCGAAGAGAAAAATTTATACTTGTGATATTCGTATTGTAATTCTATTTAATAATTTAAAGAGAAAATCAAAAGCAATGCAATTCAAATTATATTTGATAAGTAATTATAAATCACGCAATGTTTTAATCAAGAAAGATACTATAAAGATATATAAAATCGCACAAGAAATTAAAAATATTTTCATGAGTGCACATAATTGTAATTGTATTATGTTAATAATGTAATAAAAAATTAATTAATTTTCAAAACTAACGATAATTTTTAAATTTTTTATTATTTCGATTAATTCGATTATATATAAATATTATAAAAAAATAGAATATATTTCATATATAATTATTTCTCTCTATCTATGATATTAGTTATTTTATATGATTACAGAAACGTAATTTTATAAAAATGAAACGTAAAATCTAATAAAAAATACTTTATTAAAAAATAAGATAATATTTTTTGTATCCGTTATAATAATTTACAATACCTTAAAAAAGATCAATGTTTTATATATAGTAGCATCATCTTGATTCAAATAACCTAACAACGTAAATTAATAAGATTAATAACCGGCAATATTATTATAGAAGCAAAGATTCCGGAACTTGTTCGGTTGGCAGGATCGTCGAATTTCTAGAGCAAAGTCAACGATTTGAGTCTCATTATGGGTTGAAAGAAAAGAATGAACAGATCAGAATACTTAATTAATTAATATGTTCGTCACGCCAGATGAATAGATCTTGGAATACTTGTTAATGGGAGCACAGGAGCGCTCACCGTACATTTTATTTTACCATTACTGCCATCTATTGCTTGGCCAATTTCTTTGATAATTAATAGCAATTGTTATAAACGATTCGTTAAAATAGTTTATAAAATATTTATATTGGTGATATGTACTCATAATTAAACTTTAACATATCTGCAATATTAATTACTTTAAATAAATATATAAAATTAATATAATTAGAGAAAGATATTCTTAACATACTTTTTGGAAAAGAAATCGAATGAAAGTTTTTTTTTACAGTTTTTTTTTTTTATGGAAAGATGTGATATATGATATTTAAATAAATTCTGTTCATGAAATTGATGATTTATATCGAAAAAAATCTTATGAAAATTTATAAAAATGTAAATTCTTGAAAAAGTAAATAATATAGAATGAATATAGTAAATAATATAGAAAAAATATTTGAATTTATAAATTTTACTTATACATCTATCAGATCTATTTTAAAATTCAAAAATTTATTCAATGAATTATAAAATTTAATATATAAAGTAATTGAATGGAAAATACTTAACATCTCAATCATCAACTCTACTATTATTGATTAACATACATAGCATGTATGATTATCAGACTATGACAAATGATAATTCCTTGCCTTGATAAAAGATCTTGCTACTATAAAAGAAAATCAAAATCTGGTATAGAAAATAATTACATAATTATATTCTTAAAAAAATAAAATATAATTAAATGATTGTAATTGTTTAAAAAATTTGAGAAATACTTAAACTATTTGTTAATATAGCTATATACAATAGGATATATATAATGTTATAAAAATTCAGATAGTTACATGACTTCATTCTTTCTAAAAAATGAAAATAGTCAAGTGAAAGTTATTCATTATTACGTGGTATTTGCAAATATATCTGACATCATTTGGTATAGCAACATTCCATTGATGTACTTGACTGGTTTGACCTTTCATTGAAGAATAGAGAAATTACTTATAGCGATATTTTTAATATTGCTTCATATAATCATACATACATAATTATAATTGTTTTATATCTAATTTTAATTGATAAACGTGTTATATATTAGTAAAATTGTATCTGTTTTATCGAGCAAAGAATTTGAGAATTGATATTTCAAGAATTGAATATATTCTATTAAATAAATTGCTTAAAAAGTTATTTATTAAAAATTTTTAATATTTATAAAAATTTATATTATTTTTTATAATAGTTTAAAGAATAATAAAATATCCAACTTTAAAATTAAAAAAATATATATACGAAAATCTATATACGAAAATTTGTATTTTTTTAATCTTTATAGGATTTGAGAATGTGCATCTCAATGTTTTTCAAACTAATTTAATCTAATCTTGGAAAAATTTGAAAACATTCTCAATATTTTTTAAACTTGGCAAAATTTGAAAATTTTTCTCTTTAAATATTTTTATATATTTCGCATGATTTGCGATATGATACTTATGCTCATTATGTAAAATTTTTTATTATTTCATTCATCCGGTAATGGAGAAATATAAAAGGCACGTGGCCAGTTCATATGTAGTTGACTATGGAATTCGCGCCTTTCACTTTCGTTCTCTTTCAATTTTCTGTCCTACTCCTATGCACGAAATATCGCGGGCCATGTTATTAAGGTAGATTTATGCAAGATAAAACAGAGGTTTAGAATGTCGATACGACATTACTATTAACCATAGGTCAGCCAGTGTCAATGTTTATCACGGATAGATAGTCAATTCTCACGGTACTGTTCTATATTTTTTTGAAAACTTTTACATGTGTATACAATATAATACGAATACAAACATATTTCTATTATTTTTCCGTGATTTTATTTCTTGATTTAATCTTGTTAAATATGTTGATTAAGACTTGTTTTATTTTCAGTTAAGTTAGGTTAAGTTATATGAATATCGAATATCTATTATATGAATCAAACAATATTATGAATTTCTTTTTACATCAACAGTTTTTAATTTTTTATTTTTTATTTTTTATGTTTTTTATATTTTTTTATATTTTATTAAAATATCTACCAAAATAAATTTAACTTATTATTATTATTATTATATCAATGTAAATTGCTAAAAATCTATGGATGGAATTTCGAAAGTAATAAAAATAGAAAACAGTATAATTAAAAGTTATGAAGCAATGCAAGTGAAAATTTAAACATAAATACTCCTGTGCAAATACAAAGATGATAAATCTTTATTACGTATAATATTCTCACGTGTCATACATTTTTCCCAATTATGAATGTAGAAAATAAAATTGTACGTTAAGAATACTAATATCTTTTTTGTTAGAATTAGAATTATAATTGTAGAATTATAATTTTCTCTGCATAGAAAAAAATTAAAAATAAATAAATTAAGAAAAAAGAATTATATTTTAAAAATATTTAAGAAGAAAAACAAAATATCTTCTTCTATAAGAAGAAAAAATATCAAATTCTAATACAAAAATAGAAATTAAATAAAATCAAAATATATTTTTTATATTACTTTTTTACTTACTTTTAAACTCCAAAAAAGAACTGTT